ACCACGTTCATGGCAATTCCCTTGACACCAATCAGTGGCATTCCGAGCTATTGCTGTGCATCACAGAAGACGACCTAGGCATGTAAGTCCGGGCTATAACTTAGCCCACTATTCCACCATGTGTGATCTACGTGGCAAGAGAAGACAGCGCCACGAAGGGTGATCAATCTCGGGATCATCTCATCGGCAATTAATCCACACGTTCAGACCCTGAACGCGTTCAGACGTAGACAGACGAAGCGATGCTCGGTGTTGCCGATGCAGATTGGCTAGATCGTCTCCGCTTGACTCGCGATCATTTTCGAATGGCGTGTCGGCACGAAGAGGTTGAGATGATGTATAACCCTCAAAGGCCCTCGGCATACGTCGTAGAAGGTCTAGATAAAAGGAAACAATATGCGATTGGCAGAAACATCACGTATCGTCGAATACATCGCTGGATTCACACAGATGCATGCACTGTCGAGTGCGAAATGCGACGCACACTGCACCGGTACCCTGCAGTGACCGGAGAGACTGTAGATGTGTAGTCAGTCGGGAGAGAGCTCACAAAAGTGCAGCGCAGGAGGCCTCTATCAGTCCCAGCTTCTACTCTCATTGGCCAGGGGGTTCCGGAAATATATTCCGGGCATATGTGAGCGAATCACGAAGCATGTTTCAGTCGACCCATCTTTGGGCTAAGACCGCGGGGCGAGTCATCCTGTCGTGTGCACGCCATCCTGGTCTGGTTCGACTATACTAAGTAACTGACTGAGAACTTCTCCCGCTGTCACTGTCACTCTCGGCGCTTCCATGTCTTTTGGTAGTAGCACCGTATTTGAGACTTGGCATAGGAAAAGGCCCTATATTTTGTACTCGCGTTTTGGTCCATTAGCCCAATCGGCAGTCGATCTTGGCGACTTCGAGCGTGTGCTGAGCACCAGGCAAATATTAGGTTGCTGCTGGATCATCAGCTACACAAGGCTTATGACGTGAGTTAATATCGTATTTCTTTAAAGTCGATGATTTTTCTACTTGAGATATATGTGGTGATAACTCGAGTGTGACTGTGGTGCAACACCTACTAATTATCCTATTTAAACCAGACAACCTTGCACTGACTCCGACCTATCGATAGCGTATTATGCTGTCCCCGTAGACCTACTGTACTTCGAATGCAGCAGCGGGATTTGAAGTGCAGTCGAAAAGACAGCGTGCTCGTGAATCATCCGCCAAGAGAATTTGAGTTGCCGCTTCTTCGCAGCAGACCGCCATCATCCAGGGCTACCCATTTGCCTTTCTGCCCAGCGAACCGCAGTTCCCAGTGCGCTGATTCGGTAGGAAAACCAACCGACCGCAGGGGTAAGGTTTATGCGCTTATTCAGATGGGGAGTGCAATAGTGCATCACCCTTGGGCGGTCGGGCACATCACAGCCCACGCCGGCTATTGGACTATTGAAACTAGCGTCTGCATCATGCATGTGTATGAGGACCTATATCAAAGAAAGATAGAACAAAGCTGACGGATAAACTTTCCAGGTGGACTAGCGTACGGCGGGTGAGCTGGATCATCTGACAGCCACAAGCGCGAGACGGCAACTTGCTTTTCTCACTACCTGTGAGCCATGCGAGAGTCCAGGCAAGAAGTAGACTGCGCGAGCGTGCGTCAAAAAAGCAAAGTCATCCTTCCATGAGTCGATGGAGAAGGAATTGATAGATCAAGAAGATGGACGCGAAGAGAGGGGGGAGGGAAGGTTGCCTTTGGTCGAGGGAACCACATTTTGTGACGAATTTTCAATAATTCCGATGAGATCTTCGGAGATTCGGGTATAAGGTTAAGCATCGTTGATATGGATCCCCGGCCATCTTCCCGTGCTCGTGCAACGGTACTGAACTTCCACTCGTTGCATCCAGAGATCAAGAGCAGTTCAACCATTTGCAACTCCAAAGCATCTACACCGGCACGAAAAGCTAGACATGACCGTCTCCTTGTTGTAGTCGCTGCCACGCCGGCAAGTTGGGTCGACTTTGACTACGCAGTTACGCTCGCAGGAGAACCACTACCACTAAATCACCCGTACCACACTACCTACTAGGCTACTACTACCCAGACTGTCACTGGTCAAATGTCCGCGCTTCGACCGCCGATCCTCCTTATGACCCGGATCTTTGCTACGCAATTGGGTTAATGAATGTTCTGATGCGCAGAATGGAAAAGATCAAAAAGAAAAAGGTATGAGAATCAGGCTTGTGCTTCAGCTCACTTGCTGATCCGCCAGATTTACCCTAAATTACGTCTCCAAAGTGGAAAATCTAGACGAGCTCCTTTGGGAGAAGATCTTCTATCAAGACTGCAGTTGGAAAACCATTCCTACCGGCCCGTTAGACGTATATCTGACTGGCTTTACGCTAATCATGTACGGACAGCACGCTCAAGCACGGGTGACCCCACGACATCACTCCGTAGACCGTCTTTGGCCGAGCCACTCCGTGAACTTTGTCCCATAGTCATGGTCTTTGCGTCTCTCCAGGCGGGGTAAAACCAGGAGAGAGAGGTGAAAGAAAAAACAAAGTATCGTGCACTATGCGCTTGATGCTCACTGCGGAAGGTTATCATCGACTGGGTCTGTAGTCTGTGGTATGTAGTCTGTGGTATGTAGTCTGTAGTCTGTAGTCTGTGGTCTGTAGTCTGTAGTCTGCAGTCTGTAGTCTGTAGTCTGTACAACATCAGGGACTTGGCTGCGCCTAGAATTGTCGATCACGATCCCTCTCCCTTGATTCTTGGCACTTGGTTGATTTATAATCCATAAAAAGACCTCCAACGGTGACGAGCCCAATCGTGGTCTGAGCCAGGGAGATCGCACGAACTTACTATTTGGGAATCACCGAGCACCCGTGCTTCTTTTGACCTAGTCGAGCTGTCATCGTCGGGGGATCTCCCTTCAAATCGTCATGATTATGCACTCGAACGCTAGACATAGATAGCCCCGGACGACTTCTTCCATTTCAAAGACGAGGCATACAATCGCAGGTCCTTTATCTTTGAGGATGTTTCCGATCGATTGCGACTTGACAATCTAGGCTGTATGATATTGCTGATTGTCTGATCTCCACTTGTCCTGGCCAGAAGGGCGTTTTTACTTACCTTACTTGTATCCGGAGTCCGGACGGTCTGTCGTCTCATTATGTCTCTTGTAACAAGACAAGAGACTCGAACTCAAATGACCGGCTCTCCACATCTTCTTTGAAACGGTGGTCCACCCGACTCGCCGCTGATGAGTGATGAGTGATGACTGATCTGCCCGTCCCGCACACCTCCTGTACTTGTCGAGTCAGAGAGACCCTGTCGCCTCCTCGTCTGATCCAGTTCCCCCTGCCACTGCCACTGCCACTGCGGCACCTGCTCCAGACCTCAAGGCTCACGGGAGTCCGACAGGGAAGGTATCTTCCGACAGCTGAAGTCCCGTGCGCACCAGCAGGTGATGCATTGCCCGCATTGGACGGCGGACCCAGCCGCCTTCCAATTGACGGCTCCCGCTTCGCTGGGCCTAAGGTTTCCCGACCAGTTCAAATGGAAGAATGCGGACCGGAAGATCAAGTTGGAATGTATCTTCTCCGGGCCGCAACTCAGTATCACCACCTTGGGTGACGATGAGTATGACGATGACGATAATGCAACAGCCGAGTCGTCGACTTGCGGGAGCAAAGGAATCTGTCTGCAGCTCTGCAGTCTGCGGTTGGGACGGGAGACGAGATCGCATGACCGAGCGTTTCCGGGGTTTCCGGACACAACCACTCTGATTGGGATGGAGTTGCAATCTCGCTCGGGCGGCGAATGCGCAGAGTTCCTTTATTACGAACTCGTGGGCAGCGGAGGAGGTATTTTATACTCGGCTTTTTTTTTTGTTTTCCATTCGTTGGTTTAACCATCGAGTGGGAAACACTACAAGGTGTATACTAGGTGTACTAGGTGTACTAGGTGTACTAGGTGTACTAGGTGTACTAGGTGTACTAGGTGTACTAGGTGTACTAGGTGTACTAGGTGTACTAGGTGTACTAGGTGTACTAGGTGTACTAGGTGTACTAGGTGTACTAGGTGTACTAGGTGTACTAGGTGTACTAGGTGTACTAGGTGTACTAGGTGTACTAGGTGTACTAGGTGTACTAGGTGTACTAGGTGTACTAGGTGTACTAGGTGTACTAGGTGTACTAGGTGTACTAGGTGTACTAGGTGTACTAGGTGTACTAGGTGTACTAGGTGTACTAGGTGTACTAGGTGTACTAGGTGTACTAGGTGTACTAGGTGTACTAGGTGTACTAGGTGTACTAGGTGTACTAGGTGATCTTGTATGGTTGTGTACGACTACAAGGCCAAGACTAAGATGAAATGAAAGGATTGGATTTCTCATCCGGGAAAATTGGGTATCTCAAAACCAAAATTGTCAAAAGAGGACATCACATCATCCTCTCCACGGCATGTCAGACCAGGCGAAGTTGTATGAACCAGTCCAGATGTGGTCTTCCCTGTCCATGCGTATGCACCTCCTCGACCGTGCACATCTCTCTCTCGCGCTCTCGCTCTCTGCCACTGTCGTCCTGTCTCATCCCCCTCAATCTCCTCTTTGCTTTTTGTGCTGCTCTAGATATCAACAGCGGAAGAGAGAAAGATGCAAGGCATCATAAGCCTGGCCAACGCTAAACCAAAAAAAAAAAAAAAAAAAAAAAAAAAAAAACCATCCAGAACAACATCATCCTGACGCCCCATCCAATGCTCCGGTTTCCAATAGAGTGATGCGTTGGGAAAAAAACCCGCGTGTGGTCATGACTCATACCCATGGAGATCCTGTCGAGAGAGGGAGTTCTTTTGCTCTCAATTGTGGTCGCCAAAAGGGAAGGGAGAAGGGAAAGAGAGGGTTGGGACTTTTGGGGAGGACTCGTGGTTTTAGTCAGTCCCACAGGATTTGGACGCAACACCCTGACTCACCACCGCCCGTTGACCCACTTGGGTAGCGGCTGCCGGGTCACGAAATCCCCTGTCCCCACCAGTCCGACGGAGCCGTGGTGTCGATCACCTTTCCGAGGTCATAGTGAGGGTATGCCCCAGGGCCGCCCCCCGCATATTGACTTGCCATGGGGTGGTAATAGGGGGATGGCAGTCCAGTGGGGGAAGAGGAAACGAACGAACCCGGGCCTGGATAGGGAGAAGGGCCGGCGTGGAGGTGAGGGTGACCCGGAAAGTTCTGGTGCTGCACGGGATACTGAGCGGGCGTGGTCACCGTGGTGTCATTTGGCAGTGACTGCATCGGACCTTCGAAGGGGAGAGCGTAGCTCACTTGCGGAATGTGAAGATAGGTGGGAGGAGGGGCGAAGTGCAAGGGCTGCGTCTCGGGTTGCGGAGGCGTCATGAAGTGCAGTGGTGGTTGTTCTGCGTACTCCGGAGGCGTTTGTAAGGCCGCCCGCGGCTGCAGGGGACGAGGAGGAGAGGTGTCGTGCACCGGGGGCTGTTCAGCGTGGTGAGAGGGCGTGGAGGTCATGTACAGCGACTGCATGTCGACTTTGGGGGGCGTCGTCATGTACAGCGGCTGAGAAGGGTGTCGGGGGGGGAGTCATCAAGGCCACGGGCGACATGTGAAGAAGGGGGGGGGAGGAGGGAGTCGGGGCCAGTGGCGGCATCGAGACTGGAGGTGGGCGAGTCAAGCCCATTTGCCGAACTTGTCGTGAAGGGGAGCTTGACACCACGCCCGGGTGAGCTTGGACTGCGTCTCGAACCCGCTGCACCGTGGAGGACCGGCTGCGACTAGCGCGGTTCTTGCTCGGACCATCACTCGAGCCTTGGCGCTTGGTGATGCCGGCACTCTTCTTTCCCCTCGCGATACGGGGCGCTGACGAGCCGTGTCAGGGAGACCGCAGTTCCCACCTCTCTTGCCGCCAACCTTGCGGTATCGAGTCGTGGACTGGACGCCGTGCTGGACCGCCTCCTCGGTGAGCCGCCAGTAGCTCAGCGTCCGCTTACCTGCACCCTCCACCTTGAGGGCCTCGAATCCCTGTTCATTAAAGCCGAGTCAGATATTTGTCCTTGTCAGATCAATATAAGTTGCTCTTGTTCAAGTGTCGGTCCCACCTAGTGATCGGGACCAACAACCAAGACAAGCCACACCCCACGGAAAAAGGCACACTTACGGCATTCATCGAAAGGTTGTGCCGGATGCTATTCTTCCAACCCTTGGCCGACTCGGCGTTGGGCTTGTCGGTGTTTTGCCGGAACCACTCGTAGATGCCCTGGAGAGGCAGCATGTGATCCTCGGCGGCCATAAGAGCTTCCCAGATGAGCTGGGAGTAGGGCACGACCCTACCGTACTCGAGCTCGCTGGTAGCTGGAGTCGCAGCCGGTGAGGTGCCGCTGGCCTTGGAAATGTCGACCTCTGAGCTTACTGCGTCCTCAGGGTAGCGCGGGGACGAGGATGCCCAGGTGGAACTGGCCCAAGGGGCCATCTCGTGGACCGACGAAGGAGGACTGGGCTGACTGCAGCCTTGCGAGTGTCCCGAATAGTAAGCCGGGGCTCCTCCTGAGGTCACTGTGGTCCCACTGTGATCTCCAGGTCCTGGGGCTCGGGAGCTAAGCCGGCTGGGTTGGGAAGGGGAAGGGATCAAGGGAGGCGCAGGAGTTTCAGGAACGGTACTATTCAGGAGGACTGCAGCGAGGCTAGCTTCGTCCAAAGGATCAGACTGGCCAGGGTTGGAAGGAACGGGAAGGTAAGAGTGCATCACTTGAAACTCATTCATGATGGACAGATCTCCGTGAGCGTCAAGTGAATCTGCGAGACAAGCCATCGGAGAGTGACGTGGGGAGGAAGCTTTGAATGTAAGACAGTGATCTTTGAGGAGGCAGTGGTTGAAGGAAGAAGAACAAGATGACAGAGGTGAAGTGCTGATGTGCGAAGCAACTTGGTGAAAATCAACGTGTGCGTGGGAACCCTTCCAAAGAGGTCTGTATTTTTGTTGTCGATGGTGTTCATGTTCATGTTCGTGTGGGTTTTGTTGTGGTTGTTGTTTTTGTTGTGGTGTTTGCCTTGGGACACGAACCACTGCTTGATTCTGCCCTAGAGGGCGATATGGGATGGAAACTTCCATCTGGACAGAGGGCAGCCTGACAGGCACCAGTGACCGTGGGCCAGGAGTGCTGAGCATGTGAGTGAGCCAGACCACCGTACAAACTGCCAGAGCACTTGCGATATGAGACGCAACTTGGACTGCGCAAAAAGGAAGGTATAGGTTAAGGTTTCAAAATGTCCCTCTCGGTAAACATCTGGGCCACGGTGAAGTATATGAGAATGGGCTAAGCCTCCCCAAAAAAAACAGTGCAGGCAACTGTCCAATCTGTGGCCAGGCAGTGAAAAGGGTTCAAGATTTGAGCTATCGCATCATGGCAGCGTTCTTTTCCAATGCACGAACCGGTACTACTGTCGAATTGATCGACCGAATTGACTAGTTCAATGTACCATGCAAAACCACATAGAGTTGACTTGGTGCAAAAAAAAAACAAAAATGGGGAAAAAAACCGACGATGCTTTTTCAGATGGAGTCACCTCACCGATAGAGTGACTGGTAGCAGAGCCAAGGCATCTAAAGAATGGACTAACGGGCGCTAGGGAAGGATGAGAAACAATGCAAATCCACCAAAAATTGGAGAGGACAAAAAAAGACAGACACACCGAGCAAGAGCAGAGCGTCCGTAGCCATCCAGGAGTTGGGGATAAGACAAAGAGGCGTAGAGATCTAGTGCCAGGACCTCTTCTAGTCCTGCAGTGCCATTATTTTGTGCACGAGGAACATCGCCGTCTTTCCTGTTTCGTGCCCTGTGGAACAAGGGTCCCATAGTACACAGAGTGGCCAATGATCCTCCAACGGGTCGAGGTGGGTCGAAGCGACGGGCTACACCAAAAGTACTGAAGTCGTGGTTGAGTTGAGCGAAAACGCCGACAGGCGATAGTTCCTTTCTTCGTCAAATAAGCGTGAAGCCTGGCGGACACGGTCGAGGAGGTCAAGAATCTACGAAGCACGGAGACCTGCAGAATTCGCTGCTCAACCTGCCACTTTTGCGGCCCTAAATGGAATATCCAGCCCATTGATGCTTCTGGAAGTTGACGGTTGGACTGAGTTCATTTCTGGAAGTTCTTCACCAGCATTGAATGGACCGTGAGATCGAAGACGAAAGAGAGGTCAAGACGAAAGCACCGCTTCTTTGGGATTGTGATCCTGCCCAAGGACGCAGGCATTGTCTGCTCCAGAGCCTTGTCCTCAACATCGAAGGAAGCGCTTGAATTCGACTGGCAGCTGCAGACCTGTCAGGTGCCACCGGACCCCATCATACAGGCTCCGTGACGTTCCGTGGCAACTTGTTGAAGGTCTTCAGAGTGGCTGCAGGGGCTTTGCGGGAAGTCGCGAGAATGAGACAGCAATAAGTCTCGAACTCGTTCCTCAAAACCCGCTTGCCCGAGTCGGCCAAGGATGTGGGAGGAACCGGTCCATAGGCGATATTAAACAGTTGTCACATTAAGCATTTGAGATTAGATCCACACGTGGACACATGCGGGAAAGGTCTAGCTTTCTGTTTTACTTTTCGCAAGAAATGTGTACAATCAAGATGAGAGAGGATGAATGTTTCCAAGCCAATCGGTCGTTGGCAGTTGCGGTCGGTAGTCGCCAAGCTTAAGCGGTTAGCGCCTGAGAAAACAGGCGTACCGAAGATCTGACTGTTCCGCCCTCGGGCCTGCAGATGGTAATGGGCCATCACATACTCGTCGGCAATATGCAGCAACCGTGACCTCGACGGATCTTCGAAGAAATCAAAGTGGGTTTACTTCCGATAATAGATCTGAATAGCATGTTAGCACTGATCACATCGGCGCAGAGTTCCCATGTTGTGTGAGAATCTTCAGGGTGAGGGGAAGGAACTCACTCTCTTGAATTGGAAGTGTAACTGGAGAATTCCCTGTAGAAAGAAGAAAGAAAAAGGCTTGGTCAGTGGAAGTGTTCTTCGCTCTTCGCCGTCCAGCGGCGGGAAGGTCGGTCCGCTAAGCTACAGCCGAGGGAGGGACGCACCTTGTCGAAAGTACTCTTGAATCCTCGCTCGCGCTTCGCACTGTAGTCCCATTCCTTGTCGACAATGCGGAACGCGATGTCTTCGTACGGCGCCCCCGCGGTGAACCGTATGAGGCACGTGTCTTCTTCCCCAGCCTCGGCGAAAGATTGTCCGCGTTTCCGACCGGCTTCTCGTTCAATGCGGTATGTTGGAGCCTTGGTTTTGTCAATCAGGTCCGGATAGAAGATGTTGAACTTGTAGCCTTGGACCACCTTGGGTGGCGGGTTATCGTGGTCGTAATGGGTCTGATTGTACTTATTCCATTCGTATCCCATCTGAACCCGATTAAAGTACCGGGGCTTTCGGGGTCGGTACTTGTCCGCCCACTGAGATTTTGACGCTGTTGTCACGGCTTCTTCACTGGTGAAGATTTCTTCATTTTCACTGATACCCTTAGCCAATTCCCGTTCGTAGAGAGCTTTGGTGGCCTGAGAAAAGTCGTCATTAGGGATGGCAGAGAATCGCCCCGGTGCGCCCGATGGTGCGGCACTCGTTGACGTCCCGCTGCTCGTCACAACGGCAACTCTTTCGGCACCACGGTGTCGCAGAGGAACGAATCCCATCCGCAGGATTTTCTGACGCTCTTGAGCCTGGGGAATAGAGTTAGAGACGCTGTGGAACTCACGAGGCAAAGTTGCGACAACACTCACCACTTGACGAAGAAAAGCGCTTTCGTCCATAATTTCCAATCCCTTGTCTTCCTGGCGGACGTGGAGTAATGGGTCCGGGTCCAAGTCCTTGTACTCGGCTGAATCGGTCAACGCCTGCGACAGATCATTTGCAGGCACAGTGGGTGCCAACGGAGCAAGCTTCTGGCGAATGACTTCGGCTTCTGCTGTTTGTTGCTTTCGAAGATCACGCACACGCTCGTTGATCACGTCTTGATAAACGTTTCGCAGCCTTGCCCGAGCCTTCCACACCGTCAAACTGCGAAGGAGCTCCTCCCAGTAGTCCGTATCGATAGGTTCATTGGAATTCAACTTCTTCTTGACTTGCACTTCAAGCGTCTGCAATTGTTCGTAAGATTTGGGGCTCAACAGTCGGTTGATATCCGCGGCCACCGAGCTCAACGCTCGCCCTTGGGGAGCCGAAGTCTTCTGACGATCACGGCAAATGATTTTCATGGTCTGGACGGAGAGGTACATTTATCAGCGAGTCGTCTTTACTAGAAACGTGCAAGCGTATGGGAGGCGAACTGACCTGCCAATAATCCCGGTTTTGTGGGTTTGACTCCAATTTCAAAAAAGTATCAATATCGTGCTCCAAATCCCCCAACTGTGACTGCGACAAGCCTTCAAAGACACCATCCGGATCTACCACGTCCAGTTCCGAATCGGCAATCTCATCGTCAAGAGGATCCCGCGTGGGATCGATGACACGCAATGTGACGGTCAGCCAGTCGATAGGCTTTGCGCGCCCTTCCTTCACTCGAATCTCTGCCTTCTTCTTGGCTTGCTTCAACACAAAGAGATCCTCTTGTGCAACCCACTCTCGAGCTTGTACATCCTCCTGCAACTGATTGAGACGGACTTGATCGCGCATATCTCGAGAAGGTCCCGAGCCACGCGAATTTCCATTATCCCATTTCCGGCTCGACTCTTGTCGTTCACGATAATCTCGTCCTTTCTGATGGCGATGCTGGGGCTGTCGCCAGGAAGAGGGAGATCGCGATCGGCTACGCCGTTGAGCTTGGCGGTCGGACATTTCAGACGGAGCTTCTGTCAAGCTCTATTGATAGAATCGCTGAAGACTGGCACTCAGTTTATAAGCTTTCTCCGTTTGGAGACGGTTCGGTAGCGACTCAACTGACGTCGCGCGGCAGAAAGATGGTGTAGACGATCGGCGGAGAGTGAGTGGGAGCGTGCGGCTAACTTTCCCCGGAGCCGCGCTTCAGTGAGATTGGCCCGGCAGCTATCCACAACCATCCGGGTGAGTTTCTACAGTTCGCAAGTCAACAAAAGCCAGCGGGGGATTGACTGGGCAGAGTCTTTGATATCATTAAATCAGAGCAATGGCCTCACATTGGTACACACTGGCACTGTCGGGAGAGAAATTACCTCCGCTCTTTTACCGGTACATCTGGTCTCGTCAAGGCTACAATCTTCATGTGACAGACCTCACATACATCTGGTCTGAACCACTATCCCGGAAAGAAATAATCAGTCGGGCGGAAGAGACAGCAACAACAATTGATCCAAGTGAGGATCTGGGCCAGTTCGATCTATTGCTCCAAAAGATCGACAATGGTCTGCGCGGCGAGAATGGCACTCTTGTATTAGGCGGTAGTACATCGGAGGGCCAGCTCCATCTCGAGACAACTACCAACTTGCCTCCTCCATTGAGTCCACTACGCTGGGACATGTACCTGCAAAAAGAGGATGCCTCCTCAATGACAACCCATGTCATATTCCCGCTTCTGAGAAGCGAGGCATTTTGGGAATCACGTCAACAGAGCCTGCTTCAACAGTTGCGGCAGAAGGATTGGGTATTGGCAAAGTTGTTCGACAGATTCGAGGCCTTGGGTGCAGACTTGACGACGGTCTTCCCGGGTGTTGCTGGCTTGCGAGCCTCTCGAAAGGGACATTCTAGGTTAGAAGCGGCGAAATACATCAAAGGCGTGGCTGCATTCGACGAAGAACAGTGGCTCGCGGATTCTGAGACCACGCAGAACTTCAACGGCATCAGTCACTTATTTCGTGAATTAGCTACGTCGACAGATGATCAGGGCCTTGGGAATCTTCATCCTTCGCAAAAGGAATGGTGGAACCATCTCGCCAAATCTGCAAAGCCTGTGCCTACTCCTGAAAACCCAGAAGATTCTTCATCATCCCAACCTCAGCAGCAACATCGTCAGTCACAAACAGACATAGATTTGGATGGGGAGACAGCCTCAGAAAGTGAAGGAGACGAATTCGAGGTTTGAATCTCCCCACTTTGCTTACACAGCACTCTTTCTCACTACATATCCAGCAACAAGACGTGATACCGCGACAACAAACGATTACAGAGAAAGGCACCAAGTCTTCATACCAAGCTACTAAGCACGCGGACGGAACAGCCGCGCCAGCTCAGCCGGAAGGCCAAAAAGACGATCTCACTGAAACCGCATCCGAATCCGAACGTGAGCCGAGCTTGTCTCCCCCATCTCGAAGAGAAAAGACACCACGAGCTTTGTCACCACCTCCACCCAAGGAAACCAAGGCAAGCCCGCGCGCATCAGAGCCCCTAACGAAGCCAAAAAAGGGTCTCGGCGTGATTGGAGGCAGGAAAAAGACATCTCCGTCAAAGCCCCAGACTGAGCCGCAGCTTGCAACGCCCCCAGTGACTGAGCCTTCAAAGCCCGGCATTCAACAAGATCGAGGCGAAGATGTGTCCAATGTACCCAAAGGCAAGAAGACTTCGAGGCTGGGCATGATAGGCAGCAAATTGAGAACAAAACCACCGCCCAGTCCCGAAAAGCCCTCGAAGCAACGAGATTCTCAAACCGCTTCTACGGAGAAGGAACAACATGTTCCAAGTAAACCCGCCAGCCCGATTGCAGACAAAGTTTCTTCAACCAAAGCAACCGCGGGACCGTCGACGCCGACGAAGGAGATTACAGAATCTCCAAAAGAGGAGACTGATGATCAGAAAGCTGCTCGTAGGCGCGAAGAGTTGAAGCGTCAACTGGAGGCGAAAAGCAAAGCGCCTGCGAAGAAGAGCCGAAAGTTCTAGACCTGCACTTTGTTGCTGTACAGAAAGAAATGAGACTTCATAGAAGGACAGTGAGATCCAGCTCATCTTGAATTATGAGCGATTCGACGCATATTCGTAATAATCATTAAGAGTGCTATCTGGCAATGGTATCGATAAAATCAAACAGAAAAAGAAGCATTTCATGAAGCTGGGACAACGCCATGCGAGGCACACATTGTTGCGTGCAGCAAAGTCCGTCCAAGCGATGCAGACTAAGGAGGTGCAGTAGATCGTCCAGCTGGTCCTTCCCCGCCATCTTGCTCATTCGGGGTGAGGAGACGCACTTTCTTGGGCGAAAGGGCACCAGATGACTGTCGGCCGTGACCGGTTCCAGTCGTGGCTGCAACACCTGCCGCTCCAAGCATGCCACGAACCTTGTGCAAAGTCCGGCTCTCACTAGGCCACTTCTCGTTTTGAGGAGTCGCTACCCCCGATGAGCGACTTGTCGAGTCTCGACGTTTCGTTGCTGCTGTGAGCATCTGGCGGTTGAACTCGCGGCGTGGACCTGGTGCGCAATCGTGCCAACAACCGGGTGTGGCACAGCCACCCTCGCTCATCGGGACATCTCTAAGCCACAATGTGATGCAAGCCGTGTGACCGCCGTGTCCGCACCCTTGGCACCAGAGCCAGAGCTGCGCGTTTCTGGCGCTGAAGGGTTTGAACTCAACAGCGTCACACGTAGGGAGGGGCTCGGTGGCCGCGGACTGCGATGACCGCACGGACGAGGCACAGGACGTTGTGACCATACTTGACCGAGGTGATTCCGAATCTTGATAGGCAGTGACCCAATCTTCAGGCGGTTCGAGGCTCTGGCAAATTGGACAAGGCGGCTGACGCGTGTTGCAGCGATGGCAGCGTAGGTTGTCCCTCTGTGGGTTTTCATACGGCCGCTGGCATGTGAAACAGAAAACATTGATGAATGTATCTGCCAATGCATAATCGTAGACCCCTGGGTAAGCTGAAACACAAGATAATCGTAGTTCTGCGGCCTCAATCTCCATCGAATGCCTGACAAGATGCTCATTGTACGTTCTGAAAATCAATTCGCTCTCCTCACAAGGGAAGATGTCTTCGCAATCCTCATAGAGAACGTGTAAAGTGCGAAGGAGATGAGCAGCTGTTTGAACATCAGCAGCGTTGCTCGTACTATGATAATGTCGAATTGCTTCCGTGAGAATTGCGGCTACGCTCCATGGCATGGATTCGGTACTGTCTGGAACAAGCGGCAACCGAACTTGTGAGACATCCTTGTAGATCCCACCAATTCCAGGCAGAGCTGGGAGACCGAGCAGTGGTTCAACAGAATGAGAGCTTTGTTTTTCCTTGAAGACTAAGTGGTCAAGGGGAGTCGACTCAGTGAGTAGGGTCGGGGGCGTGGATGGCCGAGCAAGATGATTCTGCCCTTCTTGTGCTACATCCAATTCATCCAGCTCAGCAACATCTTCCTCCGGCTCTTCGGGAGACGTCTCGAGATAAGGTTCTTTCCGGGTTCCTAGAGCCGCTTTGCCGGCGAAGGAACCGGCGTAACTACCATCTCGACCGTCGGCAGGAGCGATATTTGATGAAAATGAAGCAGCAATCGATTTCGAAGGATTGGAACCATCGGTCGATGCTGAGAACATTGTGAAACTCTCAGAAGAATCACGTCTTATGTAGCCATCGGATGGTCCACGATCAGTTCCCGTCGGCGTGTCCAGTTTGAGAACTTTCTTTGGATGTTGTTTGTAGTTGCTGATTGCAGCTCGCTTATGTTCCAACTTTTGATCATATTCATCTTCATTTGGATCCGGGGGGATCTCTCGACTGAGGCGAGTGTGCCAGTCTGATCTTCCCGCGATTGCCCGAGGGGCCGATCTTTGCTCATCGTCGAGCTCAGGCTGTAGCGGATCACGAAGTCGCTGGTAAATGACAGCCGCTGACCACGAGTTATCATTACTGGATAGTGACTGGTCTCGGTTAAGGTTCAAAGCGTGTTGATTCGAAGGGGGGTCGCTTTCGGACATAGCCCAGCCGTTATGGGGGCTTAGAACTGAAGGCGGGAGAGGGTCAAGATCAATCCCACTTTCACTGAGTGAGGGAATTTGAGAGTCTGTACTGCTGCTCCATGACTCCTGTGGTGTGTCGGGTATGGGCTGCGCAAGGGGAGTAGTCATGTTGGAAGTACTCTCCGTGTCACTCACGACGTTTCGCTGACCCTCGGTTTGCATCACACCTTTGAAAAGCCGACTTTTCATCTTGCCCGATCGATCATGGTCACCAACCCGTGAGCTGATCGCCAAACCATCTTTGGATGTCCTTGGTTTCGTCCCTTTGTTTCCAGACTGCATTTCTCTCGCTCGTCGCTGGAACTCTTGGATGATCGCAAACTTGACAATGCGCCAGGTCTGGGCAAGCCTTGGCAAGGAGAGACTCATAGCGCATTCAGCATTCTTGTCAAGCGAAATCAGCAGCTGAAGTAGAAGCTCCATGGAGCTTTGAGCGTGCGCGTTTTCGTTCAGTAATGACGAGTAATGGCGCGCCAAGTATCGGAAATGGGATGGAGTGTTCGTCGCATTAGGAATGGACCCAATGATTCCGATCTGATTGGTAAGGGGAAGAGGAGGGATCTTAGCGAGAGCCTGGTTGAGAGGCAACACCTGCGTGATGTCAATCACACCAGGCGGAGTACTTCCCAAAGACTTTGACTGCCTGGTCGTAGCTAGCTTTGACTGTCGCGGCCTGAATGACGAGGCCACAACGACCCCGTCGAGAACATCGTCGGCCGGACTCTGACTCAACGAGTGATCGCCATTGCTACTCAGATCCTCGTCGAGATTGAGAAATTCGGATCCATTTGGAGCTAAACCACGTCGTCTCGGCCGGGCTTCGCCAAATGCGACAAAGCTTCCATTAGGATTCCACGCCGCTGCACACACGGGCCGACGATTTGCAACGGTTGGAGCATATCGAACGTCGGTTTGAGTAAAGGCTCCCGATTCGCCAACAGTCCATAGGAGATCTTTTGAGTGCCAAAGTAAATCAGCAGCCGGCACATCGTACCGGTCAAATTCTCGGAAAGGAACATGGACTCTACGAAGGTCCCAAAGATGAATCCGAGGGTCTTCTTTATCGTAGGTGGTGACAACCTGAGTTGATTGCCATTTCCCTGTGCTTGGTGAGTCACCAACCAAGGACGGAGGTCGCCATCGAACATTGGTGACAGCTTGAGGAGTCCGAAACTGGAAAAGAGGCTTCTGTCGTCGCTCTGCCCCAGTGGAGAAGTCCCAGACCTTGACCAACCGATCAGTGCCCCCGCTGATGACGTGTCTTCCGTCGGCATGCCAATCTATGGCAAAACAAGGCCGTTCGTGGGCTGCGATCCGCATGACGGGAGCATTTGTCTTGCGCGAATCCCACATCTGAATGACACCGCTATCAGAGGCAGTAGCGAACATGACTCCATCAGAAGGAGACCACCGTACGTCTCGAATCGCGTCGCTATTACTTTGGTAGACTTCCTTACTACCACACGTGGACAAGCTTCGATCCATGGAAGGAGATCGCAAGTCCCACATACGAATCGTCCCATCCTGACTGCCAGATAACAGCCATGATGCGAGATGTGGATTAAATGCCAGTCGGTGAACCTGTCGATTGTGGCCTTGGAAACGACATACTTGTAGACCAGGTCGATGTAGATCATAGAGAATGATGCGACCATTTGCAACTGCCGTTGCGATCATTCGCTCATAGTTGCTATGCGACCATTTGACGTCTCTCACATTCAATTGATCTTTGTGTATTGTCGAGGCTCCCGACTGGTGATGCGTCGATGCATAGCTGATAACCGCATTGCGGATGTTGTATTCCTCTGACGAGTGATCGGCTGAGACATTGATTGTTTTGAGGATTTCCTTCCCTCCAATGACCGCGTGCGTGCCGTCCGGGGATGTGTCTAGGGCTGTGATCGGAATCCCGGTGCGGTGGGTGACAGTCTGTGGCTCACCAGGCCTACTGACGTTAGTGGAAACAAGCCATCAACCACCTCCCAGGCGAAGGACAATGCTGGGAGCAGCAACACAGTGGGATGTGGTAGAATGGACATGGACTGGGTTGAGATGGGCTTTCTTGCACTTCTCGCATGACATTCCGCATTGGGTAGGGTGTCTCGACCGTGGCAGAGTCTGGCGGTGTGAGAGGCGATGCAGTACGTACAGTGGTTTCGATCTGAGCGGTCTAACGTCATCCACGCGGCTGCTCTGCGGACTGGGAGGTCTCGACCCGGAGAAGAAAGGCTGCGCGATACGAGCAAGCGCGTGGGCGGCCCGATGAGAGTATTTGGTGGGCGGCGGCGGTGGTGGAGGGACCGGAGAACGTGACCCTGAGAGGTCTGACATGGTTCTTCACTCCATCACTCCATCAAGAACATACACGACCAATTGCCCGAGGCACAGATTTCTGGTGGTGGGGACAGGAGCGAGGCATGTCGCAGTGAATTCACTATCGTCGAAGGATGCCGCATTAAAGTTGGGCCTCGGTGCCCAAGCGGTGAAGCGCCGCGTGATTCCTCAGGCAGCAGTTCCCTACCTACCTAGTTGCGGTAATCGCCTTCGAGTCTACTACCGCATCAATATGTACAATTGTACATACTACTGTTTCCTCTCAGGCTCTCACCGTACGATGCTATTATAGCCATACAAGAATGTTCCGAACAGCATACTGTGTTTACTGTGCTGATATGCTCTTGTCACACAGAAGGCGGTATCCTAGCTAGGTCAATGAAGCCCCATCTCGGCAAGGTCGCAAGACCGGTTGTTCAGAATCCGTCTCGCATGAGCATCAAAGTCTTGCGCAAGAAGGCTTCAGCAATTTACCTCGCTTGGTTTCCGAGTGCACATTATGAGGAAAGTCGACGGCTGTACCCTTTGCTTCTCGGCTGGCTATCAAGGAGGCTAGTTCCAAGACAGTAGAGACGTGGGGACTCAACTCGTGCATGAAGACATTCCTCAACTTAGGAAGGCTCTTCATCGTGGAAGCAACTTGCTTCCTTGAACCCCTTGCAAGAAATTCATCGCAGCGGTTGGTCAAACAGTATCATACTGCACTTCAGTAGTCCCCCACGTCACCCTTCGATTGATATGCAGTAGGGTTGGTTAGTGAGTGTGTGTGACTGTGTTTAAGCCAGGACACTGGCAGAACCCTTCATTACAATTGATTTTCTACTCACCAAAAGACGCTGGGTGACGACCATCATACCAATATCTCAGTGTGATACAACACTTTACCAATCCTACCAACAACGCGCTCTTCCCATTAAGAGCGGTCTGCAGGCCAACACAGACCGTGAGACACATCAATTTCATTATAGTGGAATCGACAGGCTCCACCCCAGGTTAAACCCCCGCCCTCCCGGACGTGGACCCGGCTGTCCGTTATCACGAAGTCACGTTGCGGCCAGACGACTCGTATCAAACCTACTTTGATGCAGCAACATCGATCCCGACCAGAGCGGTGATCCGATTGGCGTGTCATTATCTGAAGTAATTTGTACATTCGTACAATCCCAGTTTGACCGCCGTCAATATTCGCAATGGTCGGTACTTCAAAGTTAGGAGCGGACCAGTTCGTTCGCCATGCCAGAGTGAAAGACGGTGGTGAATGACGTCGAATCGTCATCGAAGACCTAGGTAAGCCTGGCACCCCAAGTCTGAGGACGGGTAGTCTGCAACTCTGCATGCTCTCTGAATCATCGTTGACGAGCTTCACAAGATCTTGTGCAGATCAAGGAAGGCTTCCAGGAGGTGTGCCGAAGACTAGATTCACGGTGTGAGTCTAGATGCTGGAAGGGCCAGGATCTCGTATCGCGCTCGAGCGTTGCGTGATCTCGTCGTTATAGTAGGGCTTGGTTGCTTGCTGAATTGCCGTCACAGGACAATTGTCAGGACCGATGAATGAGGCCAAGGAGCCTGGAACAACAGTAAGCACCCCCGGCGAACGAGGCCTACCGTTGAACGCACAGTAGGAAAGGAGGCCCTTGAGTGGTGGAGGGATGAAGCTGAGATGCACGGATGGACTTGATCGATGCTGCGAGTCTCGACCCAAAGGAGCAACACCATCCAATTGATCCAAATCTAGATCTTGGGTCGGAAAGGGCCCGCGCACCTGGACTGCCGTTCGATCGCCTGTGCGCCATGTTCGGCGAAGAACTGGGGAAGCATGAGTGGAGTTCCAGGAGGAGCGAAGATCTAGCCGGCGCTCGGGGCACCTTCGTGGAGAGACTTGCAGCTCTGGGGCTGATTACAAAGTGGGCGAGTTCCATATGATGGAAGTTTCTGAGAAGCCGGCGGGTTTAATACGTCATGTAGTGGCGAGGCAAGATATCGTACAAGGGAACAAAATCAATGAGAAGTAAACCCGGACTTTTTGGATCCGATGTTCAGTCTCGTATTCCATTCGAAACCAATCCACTTGAAGCAGCTTGTCTGGAAAGACGCATGAATGTACCGTCCCAAGGTCGGCAGATCGAAATTCGGCGGTTGTATCTGGGACTTATGGTGACAGTTGTATCTTTGGCATCAGTCGGGTTTTGTTTTGGGTGCGATCGCTGTGTGGCGTCACTGGCGTGTGCTCAGATAAGTCTGGCCCATCCTAACATCCGATTCCCCGCCTACGTGAGAGTTCCACCGCAGTAGTCAGGATCCACATTTTCGAGCATGGGCACACTAGACTCAACAACGCCCTAAGGAGACGGTTCAAGCCTTGCTATCACCATTAGTCTTCTTCGCATTCACGTTCGTCCATTTATTGCATAAGCTAAAAGGAAGAGTGAGGCCACAGCATGCGAGGGCAATTGCGAAAATAACCTTGATACCCCATGCATACGCACGGACAACACCGTGCAGCTCGGCTCCAGAAAACAACCTGTGCACTTCAGTGGCCCCGGTACCCGTGACCAGGGCGGGATTGACACTGGGTGCGGTAGTGGCAAGCTTGTGTACGATCTGATTGACGAAGCCAGATTGAGCAGCAGCGAGCAAAAGTGTACCGCCGACCGATCGAGCAACTGTGCAAGAGGGGTTACATTCAATTCCAAGATTCAGTCAACCGGCAAGATTTGACCGCGCCAGAGACGAAATAGCGAAAGCGGACTTACAGATAATGATTGCGGTCGTGGGGGCTATGTCGCTCGGCTCAGCAGACGCTTGCGCAACGACAACCGGAACTTGCAGGGCGAGGCCATATCCGAAGCCCGCCAACATCTGATATCCTACCCATTTGCCTGTCGAGGTGCCAACTTCAAGAGTGTACATTAGGCCAGAGGCAATGGTCACGATCACCGAGGCCACTGCCATATAAGGGGTCGCAATCCCCGTCTTCGTGATGGCTCTGCCAGAGCCATATGTGGCAATACTGAACATGACGATGAGAGGAATGTTTCGCACCCCCGAGCCAATTGGACTGGCGTCGTCGACGCTTTGGAAATAGATAGGCAGGTAGTAGAGCGTAATGAGATACGCGCCAATGAAGAAAAAGCCCCACACGCTGCTGACCCAGACAGTCCTTTTGCGCATAAGGCGTGGTGTCAACATCGCGCGCTCCCCTTGCCAGAGTTCTGCGAGTACAAGTGCGATGGATATGAGAACAAAGCCAACTAGTAACCCGATAACGACACTGGAACGCCACGAATGAATCACGCCCCCATACTGAAGAGCTAGAAGCAAGCACGCCAGTGCACCCATCGTGAGTACCGTCGCTAGCGGGTCCATATGTAGAAGCTTCTCCTTCAATGTCGCCTCGACCACTTTGGCGGCCTTTGGGGTCTTGAAGGTGAGCAAGATGACAAAAGCGGCTAGACCACCGATTGGGAGATTGATATAGAAGCACCTAAAGTTGTGACATCAGCCCCGGTTCTGAGTCTCACAGGACTTGATGTCTGCAGACAGTCTCGTAGTTCACGTCAACGCACGAAGCATTTCTTGACTCACCACCTCCAGGATGCCCCTTTTGTGAGCCCTCCACCAATGAGTGGTCCACAGACGGCGGCAACGCCATATGCTATACCGATGACTCCCGTGTAGGTGGCTCTTTTGCTAGGTTCGGCGGCAAAGGCAGCAATAGTGTAAACTCCAGGCGCTATCCCCGAGGCACCGAGACCGGAGACGGCACGTCCAACTATCAGGGTCGTTGAGTCCGGGGCGACGGCGGCGATCAAGCTCCCCAGTTCGAAGATGAGTATGGCCACCAGGAAACTCGTCTTGAGGGGAAAGTACTTGTATGCTTTACCCCAGGTGGACTGAAATGCTCCGAGCGTCATAAAATAGGCCGAGCCGTACCACGAGATCTCGTCAAGGCTGTGGAACTGGTCGGTAATGTTTGGAATAGCAGTTGCGACAATGGTCTGCAACTAGTGTCAGCTTTCCCCAGTGTGAGATATCGTATTGATCAACGAGATCCCTCCACACGAGAAGCATGGAGTAGCAGAACTCACCTGATCCAGGGAACATAGGGTAATACTGAGCACCAGCGCAGTCATGATGAAGAAGACTTCGATACCCTTCGGGTATTCCATGACAGTGTTTGGAGGCTTGTTCGCAGTTTTTGCTTGAGCAACATGAACTTTCTCTGCATCATTCATAGACGAAGTTATGAAAGTAGAAGGTATGTTGGAGCTGGCGGTCTGCTTTTACCTGGCAGGCTCGATTTGATGTTTATCTCTCCGGTCGCTTTGAGACTACCGTCGCTGTTGTCGTCCTCTGGTGAAAGAGATAGGTTTCTTGATAGAGACATCTGTTTGTGCAATCCACCTGGGATCGTTTTGATGCGGCTTGGTATTAGGTTGGATGGTCTTGGGTAAGGCTCGAGTGATATCAAAGCACTCGACTACTTCTGTCCGCATCCTGAGGGCTGTGGGAGTTAACGGAGATAGCAATGTTAGGATAGAGTTGGACCCTGGTCTTACGAGGGTCCAGCAATGTTCCAGATTATAAGACAAAGAGGTCTATGAGTGTGAAACATGCCCAAACATCAACCGATTGTATAGTATGATACATAGGTAACCCTCATCGTTCGCGTAACACCGTTAATCCCGTTCGTTCTTAATTCCGTTAAAACCGCTCGTCTCAATCATAAATCGTGACTCGACTCAGGACTCTCCGGCGGGAGATCAAGATTTCTGACCTCAGAGCTTTTCAGGTCAGTCCTGACGAGGATGTGGATATTGATCAAGAGAATCAATCAGTGTTCAGGCATCATTGGGATCACCCGAGATTCGTTGTTCCTCAATCGTGGTGGTTACAGTGATATCAGATGACCTTTTCTCAATCTGCCCTACCCTTTGTGGATTGGACTGGTCACCAGTCTTGAGATGAGATTTGGGATCAATCGGTCATTGAACACCCGGTAGTAACTATCTTACTTTGCAAGTAGATCAGAGGTTCTACTCAGGGAATAGCTCAAGGAGGTATCTTGGCCTCCCCGGATGAGTATTCATGGAGGGTAGTAATTTCTAGACCATACTCCCTTCTTTCTTCATCAATACACACAAATGCAAAGAACTCTTACACGCGTACCATTTACCCTCATGTCCACAAGCTAAGCAAGGAATAGTGGTGTACCAGTATCATGAGGTGCCCATCATGTAGGTGGTATAAGGTAGGTCAAATGTGTACTTCCACTTCAAGATCCCTTGACTCATTAACACATAAGGTAGACCTGTCGGTAGGTATTTCTTCTCCTGCTGAGAAGAAATGAATACCACTAGGTACGATCAATAGCAGCCATCGAGCAGAACCTGTGATCTCAGAGTGTGATATATAAAATTTCGACCCTAACCAGACACAATATGTAGGTAGCGTATAAACGTACACTGTGCAGGTAGTATGTGTAATAAGTTCTGGGACATGATCATTGAGTCAGGTAGTATGACTATGCGCTGATGCCAAAAGAGTGTACATTGTACACTTACGTAGCCGGTACTTTTGATTCAGTCTGGTTCTCCAGTTCTTCACCTGCTAAGACTTGAATGTCCACGTGAGAGTGCGACAGTCCACACTCCACAGAGACCCGAGAACCCGGTTGATCCTTGAGCTCTACCGACCTTGAATCACTGCAGTCCGACACCCAGGGTCTGACTCGGTCGGTCGTCACTGAGATCAAAACAATAATAGGTCACGACTATTATTATCAGTACAATCTGCTGTACAGTGTTGCTCTATCATCCATGTCCAGCTGCACAGATAGGTTCTACGCAGTGTACGCACAAACACGGCGATGTGGATCCAGCCCCCTCCATCTAGCTGCAGCAGCCAGGCGCATCCACTTCACCGTCATTCCGGACGAGTCCATAAAAATACTCTACGGCCCCAACGTTCCGACCATTCTGATCTGGCACGTTTGTTGAATTGCTCGCATTCTCTATGGTCGAGCGTCCGCGGCACTGCTGAGAATCGATCTCACACCCTCCCTGACAATAGGCTCGTAGGTCCACACTTGCCCCTGCTTCTGTGTTCTCCCGAGGGTGAGAGTGAGAGGGCGCATGATCTCGCCACAGCGTGATCAGTTGAGACCGAGAAGACTTTAAACCTTCGCTGCGGCTGCGGACATTTGCCTCCTCTGTCTTCGCCCATTCCAATCAATCAAGCCAAAGTTTTGGTCCTGTGTCATTTGCGGTTCTGCATGGGCAGCGGCTCAGGATTGGATCCTTTACTAATTGGACACAAATATTCAGCTGTCGAGCTCATCCGGTTTCAATTCAAGGAAAACTGCACAGTGGTGCAGGCTCCAGGTCCTGGCAGACAGACTATCTCACCTGTTTACCCCCCGCGTTCGGCTGTGCAGTTCATTCCTCACGTCGATCCTTGGCCACACCCGTCCGGTATTGACTGTCGCTTCCGCTTGACCTGCCCGGCTACCGCTCGGTCTGGAATTTGGGTCAACCTTCCATCCCCTCGTCCGCCTCAATTCTCCTCGTCCTTCTCGTTCTCTCCACCGCTCGCCGGTCCTTCTCAACGTTCACCAAGCGGTCGCTTTGCTGATCTTCCACCTTTTCCTTCTTCGCGCACGCTGTGTCATGGAAATAAACTGACTCGCTGCTGGACCGGACACTCGTGGGAGGACTTGGCTCATCATGGATTCTCACGCAGCTCTTGAGCTGCTGGAATACCTGCGCATATGCTATCCGATCTTTCTGCTTTGCCTCTTCACCGTGGCTTTCATCGCCAATACGATGGCCACCGCCAGAAGAGTCGGAAATCAAGAATCTGTCCGCATGGGCCCCGGGGGAAGGCCATTACCCAAGCGCCATCGTAGTGAAGCTCCCGCTTCCGCGGTGAAGGTGTTCTCACCTACCGTCAAGCGGTTTTTCAATTGGCTTTCGGTTGCCCTACTCGTCACATTTTTGATAGATGCAACGATCTACATCGTCCACGTCCTGGTTGCTCGATCTGAGCACTGGTGGCGGGGCCAGTCCGCAGTCGTAGGTTTTCCCAGATCAGCTGTTGCTTGTGTTGGCGCCGGAAATCAAGCCTCCGTGCTAACAGATTACGGCATTTTGACTATAGATTTACATTGTCGGGTCATTCTTTTTCTACGCTGTCCTCTTAATGACATTGCTCGACACAAACCCGTCCCCAACCGTTGCCCAGTTTGTGTGCTGGCTCGCCGCCATTCCCCTCGAATTAATCCTCGTCAGCACTGCGCTTTCTCTCTACACCTCACCTCACCACGAACCGATTGTTGGTAACCCCGAAGGCGGCACACTTCGCCAATCCATCACGCCATGGGAGCACGCTGAAATTGCGTCAAATAGTCTTCGAGTGCTGATTTTGGTGGCTCTGGTTGCTCTGTACATCAGTAAAAGTATATCCTGGAAGAGTCAGAAGGGCAGCCAGATGCGTCGTGAAAACGGCCATGCCAGTGAGTCCACTGGACTTCTTGACGCGGCAGCCGCAGAGAATGGCAATGGCAACACCAATGGCCATGCTTACGGAGCTACCGATGGTTCAGCAGACAACAATGCTACGAAACCGAAGCCCGATCCATGGGTCCGTCCAACGACCGTGCCTTCAACAAGTTGGTGGGAGTATCTCAGTGGCTACTCACTCTTCTTTCCCTACCTTTGGCCATCAAAATCCTGTCGATTGCAAATTATCGTGGTCCTTTGCTTCATCATCCTTGTTGCTCAACGAGTCGTGAATGTCATGGTACCGAACCAAGTTGGTCATATTACCACCATCTTGGCTGACGAGGAAGGACAAGGTTTCCGTGTCCCTTGGCTGGAGATCTTGATGTATGTCGTTCTACGATGGCTGCAAGGTAGCCAGGGTCTTTTGGGCTCCATGCGCTCCAGCCTGTGGATACCGGTCAGCCAGTATTCGTATATGGAACTGTCGAATGCGGCATTTGAGCATGTCCATGGACTGAGTCTCGATTTCCATCTGGGGAAGAAGACAGGAGAGGTCCTGTCTGCGTTGAGCAAGGGCAGCTCTATCAATACATTCCTGGAGCAGATCACGTTCCAAGTGGTCCCAATGTTGGTTGATCTGGTCATCGCATTCGGCTACTTCCTCATCAAGTTCAATGCCTACTATGCACTCGTTGTGGGTATCTCCACGTTCGGATACCTCTACGTCACAGTACGCATGGCACAGTGGCGCGCTGAAATTCGAAGGACCATGGTTAATGCATCTCGTCAAGAAGACGCTGTCAAGTATGTGATTTCCAAGACGACTATAGAGGAATGCAGTACAACTCGAGGACGTGAACTGACCTGTGATTTCTCAGGAACGATTCGATGGTCTCTTACGAGACGGTCAAATACTTCAATGCCGAACAGTACGAATTCCGGCGTTATCGCGATGCCGTGGGCGAGTTTCAAAAGGCCGAGTACCATGTGCTTATCTCACTAACACTCCTCAACACGTGCCAAAACACGATCTTTATGTTGGGCCTTCTCCTCACCTGCTTCATCGCAGCATACGAAGTCGCCACTCACGAGCAAGACGTCGGTCGATTTGTGACATTGTTGATCTACATGGCCCAGCTTCAGGGTCCACTGAACTTTTTCGGCACCTTCTATCGTTCAATTCAGTCTGCATTGATCAACGCTGAGCGGATGCTTGAGTTGTTCCGCGAGCAGCCAACGGTGGTCGACAGCCCGCATGCCACCACCTTGCCAATCTGCCAGGGAGACATAAAGTTCCAAGACGTCGATTTCTCTTACGACAAGCGCAAACCGGCGTTGAATGGACTGACTTTCCACTGCGAGCCTGGTACTACCACCGCTTTGGTGGGAGAATCTGGAGGTGGCAAGTCCACTGTCTTTAGACTCCTCTTCCGGTTCTATAATACTGAGAAGGGCTGCCTCAGTGTCGATGGTCGTGACGTGCGGGATATCACCATCGACTCGTTACGCAGCCACATCGGTGTGGTCCCTCAGGACACTGTCCTTTTCAACGAGACACTTATGTATAATTTGAAATACGCGAACCAGGCAGCCACGGATGAGGAAGTCTATGATGCCTGCCGGGCAGCCAGTATTCACGAGAAAATCTTGACATTCCCGGATGGTTATAACACCAAGGTTGGAGAACGAGGTCTGCGCCTCAGTGGCGGAGAGAAGCAGCGGGTTGCAATTGCACGTACCATACTCAAGAACCCGCGGATCATTCTTTTGGACGAAGCCACAGCCGCACTGGATACGGATACCGAAGAGCACATCCAGCGGGCGCTTTCCACGCTCTCACAGGGACGTACCATGCTCGTGATTGCTCATCGACTCAGCACCATCACGACAGCCGATCGAATCCTTGTTTTGGCTGATGGCCAAGTGGCTGAAAGTGGTACTCACGAGGAGCTACTTGCAATGAAGGGCCGTTATGCGAGCATGTGGCGCAAGCAAATTCGAGCGCAAAAGGCCGCTATCGAAGTCAAACATTTGGAAGATCGCATCCGCAACGCCGCTCACAGCGACGATAGCTCTAGCCAGTCTGATGAGGATCCCAAACATAATCGCCGTCCGGCACAATGATCTCGTTTTTGTCACAGGCCTCCTGATTTGGGGTCGAGAGTTCCTCTCACCCAGCAGTACAAATAGTCCGCTGACGACTTGTGAATACTCACTTTCTTGCATTATAACCACGACATGCCACCATCCCACCATTCGACAGCAAATGACACTGCTGTCATTCGGGTGTGAACCAAGGATGGTCGCTGCCTCTTTCCAGATAGGCTCGCCCATTCGTCCGCTTTTATACCCAGTCGCTCGCGTCGTCGCGGCCTTTCTTCTTCTTTATCTCCTTCTCGCAATACGTTCAACGATTGCATTGTCTGTTCTGCCATCGCCGGGCTGCTAGCCTGCTCGGTATAATTCTCTCCGCGCCCTTCACACCTTGTCTCAACCCCTTCATGCTACCTTTCGTGCTCGACTGTTTCCTCCTCTCTTTGCCTTTGTCTCGTCCTTGGGCCTTCGAATAATTTTCACTGGAGTTTGGGAATTTCGGAATGTTGAGAAGCTGGACCGTCTTGGAAAAAAAGGTCTCTTGATGCTGAACTCGACAAAACATTGGTTACTCCGGAGGCAGCTTTTTGTATAATCACTGGCAAATCCTCACCTAAATGGGTCAAAAAACGTGAAATACAAGTGACTTGGTTTGAAACGATTGTTGCAACTGCTCACCGTACATGTAGAAAGGGTTGTAAGGTAGAGAGGTATGCATCCTGAAGCTCGATCATGAGATCTCATTCTGTTTTCCGACCTTGTTATGGCCTCCGTAGATATCAAATGCCATTAAAGATTGTAGGAATGCTAGAAATGGTGGCTATTACAAACGGGTTACGTATATACCTAAGTCTGATCAGGCCGGGGGTGTTTCTCTAACCTTTACCTGGGTACTGTAGGTGAAGAAATGATGTCAGCTCAAGCGCCAAGGCGGAGCCGATCTTATCACTGCAATCAGCAACAGCATCCATCCTCCGCCGAAGCACCTTTTTCTAACTATCGAACTGTTTCATGTAACATCTCGTTGTCCTTCGCGAGAATCACAAGCCGCAATCGATCATCTTTAAAGATGCACTCGCCCTCAACTCAACTTCTCCGTGCTTTACGGACGTCGCTCGTGAGCGCGCACTCTCGCAACTCACTGCGCGGCGCTGTTCGACGATCCCCGATCGCCGTCACAACCTTCAAAACACCTTCTTCGGTGCGCAACAACAGCTCAAAAATCCAGCCCGTCCGCATGGTTCCACGGTCGCATACACACAAGCCCACCAGCTATGATCGTGGTCCAGAGTCACAGGAAGATACGGTGACCGATTTCGGCGCCCTCGATGTCCTCGGCAACACACCCGTGCCCAGCACAGCTATTGACGCATGTTTGGACTCTGGTTTCCATCTCAACAGCGGCGTGAAAATTACGGGCGGAGATGCTCTGCTCCTTGTCGGTGGTGAGGCATTTGCCTGGAGACCTTGGAGGGCCGTCGAGGGTGCGGAAAATGAACAAATTGCCAAAGCGTCTATGATCAATGCGAAAGGTCAATTCGAACTCGATGAGCAAGTTTGGGGGTTGTTGAGCCTCGTGTGGCCACGTCCCGGTACGTTCTTGTTCTACCTCGCTCTTGATGTTCCTGCAATTGTGCACGTTTCCCTTTACCGCTATGACAACAGCAATTTGCCTCTCAGATACGTGCTTTCTAATGGATCTCATTTCTCGCTGTTTCTCACCCGGTCGACATTGCTGATCCTTACATTCATCAGATATGCTCATTCTTGGCATGGGTGCCGGCATTTATCCTCTGTCACCGGAAACGAAGCGCCATATTAATTCTCTGGGTATCCGTGTTGATGTTCAGGACACGAGAAACGCAGCTGCTCAGTTCAATCTCTTGGCTACAGAGCGTGGTGTGTCCGAGATTGCAGCGGCGTTGATTCCCATCGGGTGGAAAGGACGATCCTAAACCGGACACTGCTCTTTTCCGGAACGAACTCTTAGATATTCGCAAAACGCAGATGGTAGCACCATCTAATGTACAATATTCGTAGCATTTCCTTTGGATTCGAGTGTATTTGTCGGCCGCTGTAGACACGGCCCTACACGTATAACAATGGTGCGTGGATCTATTGACAAAGACCGATTGCCGGCAGGATTTCGAGCCCCGACCTAGATCGTATGAGAACTAGTGTTCAGGGACTGTAAATCGGACTTCATACCTGTGGGGCATACTCGGTTATTAAGCAGAGCATGTCCCTGCTTGCGATGCTACCTTAAAACGACTAAGAATGAGACATCAGTGTAGTCTTGGCACATTGCTCAAGTTGGCCCTTGATCATGTGAGTCTGTCTTATCTTATCGCAGACACCAGCTGAGGCATCCACAGGGCCAGCTCCGCACCTGGGGTAACTCCGTATGAAATACCACAGACAACTCTGAACCCTCCATCGACTCAGATATTCGAACCCGGGTCTACAAACGCAAATATGGCGGGAGAAGAGTCACTCTCAGTACCCCGTCAGTCAAGCGATCGATTATCCACCCAAACCGCCGAGGAGGAGGATGCTCTTCTGACTGGGGAGCGAACGACTCGCCGTGAGCCAGTACGCCGCGGACTTGGCTTCTGGGGCCAGGTGGGAACGTTTGCGTGGGCTATCTCTGCAACAATCGTTGTAATCATACTGGCGGTGGTATATCAGCATGAATCGGCCAAGAATCAAAGAGGAGAGCCCCCGATAGGTTGGGGACCAGGCGGCAAGCCCTCGGGAAAGCGCAACCTCATATTCATGGTCTCCGATGGCATGGGACCGACAAGTCTGTCCATGACGAGAAGTTTCAGACAATTCGTAGAGGGCTTGCCTATTGATGATGTTCTTGTCTTGGACAAGCATCACATTGGCCAGTCCCGAACCCGCTCGAGCAACAGCCTTGTGACCGATTCGGCCGCTGGTGCAACAGCGTTCTCCTGCGGACACAAGAGCTATAATGGAGCCATTTCAGTGCTTCCAGACCATTCGCCTTGCGGTACTGTACTCGAGGCTGCCAAGCTGGCGGGCTATCACACTGGACTGGTGGTGACAACACGCATCACCGATGCAACGCCGGCTTGCTTTGCATCGCATGCGAATCTGCGCCAATACGAGGATAGCATTGCAGAGCAGGAGGCGGGTGAGCACCCGTTGGGACGTGTCGTGGACTTAATCCTTGGTGGTGGCCGTTGTCATTTCTTGCCAAATTCCACCGATGGCAGTTGCCGTGCGGATGATCGCGACATCGTCGATGTTGCGACTCAGAATGGATTCCATTACCTGCAAGATCGCGCTGGTTTTGACGCCCTCAAGGGTGGCGCTGATGCAAAGCTTCCCCTGATGGGTCTGTTTGCTGAGAAGGATATCCCTTACGAGATTGACCGTCGCTCACAGAATGACGTCTATCCTTCTCTGGAAGAAATGGCTCGAACTGCGCTGACCACTCTCAGCGAGGCCACCCGAGACAGTGAGCAAGGTTTCTTTTTGATGATTGAGGGGTCTCGAATCGATCATGCCGGACATGGGAACGATCCTGCCGCACAGGTCCATGAAGTCATCGCCTATGACAAGGCCTTTGCCGCTGTGCTGGAGTTCCTTGAGAAGGATGATACCCCTGGTATTCTTGTCGGCACATCTGATCACGAGACTGGTGGCTTGGCTGCTGCGCGTCAACTCCACACTACTTATCCTGAATACCTTTGGCATCCTCGTGTTTTGGCGAACGCTCAACATTCCAGCGAATATGCTGGCGCCAAGTGGACCGAGTACCTGTCTCAAAATGGAAAACACAGTGATGACAAGAAGAAATCATTCATCCGCAAAATTTTGCTCGAGAAGGATCTCGGTATCACAGACGCCACGGATGAGGAGATTGATGCTTTGCTTCATCTTGAGGCTGGAGTGTATCCCAATTACGTCTTTGCCGACATGATCAGCCGTCGTGCGCAAATCGGCTGGTCTACTCACGGCCACTCTGGTAAGTTTCTCAACCATGACTTCGAATACAAGTTCTTTCTTTGAAAAGTAATGCAAATATAGCTGACAAAATGCTGCAGCTGCCGATGTCAACATTTATGCATCATCTAGCAAGAATGCATGGCCACTGGTTGGCAATCACGAGAATACCGATGTCGGTAAATTCCTTGCAGAATATTTGGATCTTGATGTCAATGCAGTGACCAAACGTCTGCAATCTGCGGCTTCTTGGACGGCATCGAGCGACGAATCTAGCCCGTCTAAGCAACATGGCTGGCTGGGTGATCCGCTTGGCTCGAACGTGCGAGTTGAAGGCCTTGATGGCTACCATGGTGACTTTAGAAAGCGCTCGGTCGATGACTGTGCTTGCGGAAGCGTGCACTAGGTGCACCCTGTCTTTTTTTTTTTTTTTTATGCATTTGACCCAATAACTCCCTACCTGTGAAGAGGCTTTCCCGTGTGAAGCCTTTCATCTTTCGGCAATCATGCTTCTCCATTGAAGACTACTGGCGTTTTTGATATTTTCAATACTTTCTTCGAATGAATTGCTATTGCGTGCTCTTACACTCTTACACTATCTAGTAGGCTCAATCACGAAGAATGCAGCGTACCCCATCTTTCGACAAGTTTTGCTTCCTCAATGAAGGAACCTGCTAGCCGCATTTGAGACTCTTGCGAGGCTTCTTCGATTGAACTACCGTTACTTCGTCCTTTACGTTTACTCTATTTAGTGAAATCAGTCACAAAATATACATCGTACTACTTCCAACTGCTACCATTTACATCTACGAAGTGATCATTACGAGAAAAGCAGCATATTTGTGGCCAATATCAATTCATTCCTGATTGACGTTCTCGTGCTTGACCACAACCCGTTCATCCTCAGAACCTTCGTTCTGAGACCGCTCGTCCTCAGGTCCCATGACCTCAGATTCCTCCTCGCCCTTGAAACCCCCCTCCAGCACCATCGTCCAGTACCAATGCCAGTATTGATCGTTCTGACAATCGGCACAGACCTCCACATCATCCTCCCAACCGACGATGTTGGTGCGGCCGGTCCCTTCACCCGAAAAGTCATCCGAGCCCTCACTCACGTCGATCTCGTAGTAAGGCTGGCAGTCCGGGATGTTCGGGTCGAAAGGGAGGTCGTGCTGCTCCCGCTCCAGGGGGTCGTTGATTCTCTGGAGCTGGTCGTAGAGGTCGTGGCAGAACAGGTGGAGTTTGAACCAGACGTCTGCGCAGCACCGGCAGTAGACGCCAACGTAGAAGCACATCTTCTGCTGCGTGAAGGGCTCGTTAGTCTCTTGTTTGTTTTTCCTTCTCTTCGCGCATATAATCCAAAGCTACATGGTGGGATCGAACGTACCGTACCGGTTGGGCAGGTCTTGATCTGAGCTTTCAGATCGACGGGAGGATCTCTTTTGGCGAGGGGATTTGTGTTATGAAACACCGGGCCAAGGACGTTCGAAAGGGGGGTTGATATCAGAGTGCCGTTGGAAGTGACAGGACGGCCAAAAGTGAGATGTGATCTGATATCGGGGGTGAACGGAGGAAGTCTGTAAGGTGAGAAGATAGAGAACGCAAGTGAGCTTTATATAGTCCTCATCTGACTCTCATCCTCACCATGGATAGCTTTGTTGTGTGGATGCCTACACGTATACGCCTCTCGCGATTGCTCCAACTGAGAACCCCATCGCGGCCTACCAGATGTATACAATACCTCCTAGGCGGCGTCTCCCATGGACGGCGCGATAGTAGACGCTACATCTGAGCTTCACGCGTCCCAGCTCCCACCGAAAGCAAACCACCATCCTCTACCAAACCTAGACGCAACGATGTAATCCCAGGACTCTAGGCACCGACAAGTTTGATGGAGTCTCGACCGAATCCAGACGTGAGTGGAGAGTGAAGTATCACCCATCAGAGTCTCGCGCGTCTCATTTCCCACCACAAACAACAAACACAAAGAATGACTACCTCTATACTACGGAAAGCCGTAACGAGAAAATCCTCGGGCTCTACGCAGGCACCGACACGTTTGATCAAGTCTCGACCCAGGCGTGAGAAGCGAAGAATTGCCCGTCCCAGGCAAGTTACATGTGGAAGGTGTTTGTTCCACAACGCGATCTAGTCGGACATTTCAGAATCCGCTTCAGAGTGTGTGCTTGTCCTAGTGTAATTGTTGTATGCACCTCAAAGATTGAGCATGTTGTTTATAGTTTATACTACTTGAAAAAGTAAACAGTGGGGGCGGGAACCAGTAGCCTAATGGCCCAGTCCCGAAGAAGCTTATTCGCGTTCGGCAGCGGCTTGTCGGGTTCCTGCAGGGGAATCGGTCATCGATCAAATTCGGCTACCTACTGAACAGATCGACGGGTGTTGATTTCATTCTGAACGTAACTGCTGCTGGACTGGGCTGCTAGAAATTGAGCCCACGTGGAGAATGGAGTAAGTGTTTGATCACTACAGGTGATTCACTCAACTAGGAGAGGTTTGGGTGTTTATTACGATTTGTTTGCCATTGGGTAACTGTGATCTCGTGAGGGCTTGTGAACAGCGCAGTTAACATGGATGTATCGTGGCATTCTCAAGGGCGAAGCCGTTCAGCAGTTCTTCGATTTCGTGTTTATGTTTGCCAATACACATATCACGAATGGAACACACGAGCGATGTGGTGAGATTCAAAGAGACCAATAGGATGAGCGGTACAGTAGGATTAATCTCAAAGTCAAGGAAAGACGACTGTAGTGGGAATAGAAAACGCTCAAAAGGATAGAGTGTCAAATGAGAGACTAATCGGAACAGCCCTATCAATATATCCAAATGTTCTCAGGAACTGGAAAAAAAAGAGACAAGTCAAATTCACAAGAAAGAAGAATTGAGAAAGTAGAGAGGGGTTTCATCAAGTCCAGGTCTACAGGGTCACCAGAGCGACAACAGCCACGAGGACTGCAAAGAAAGAGCCCTGCAGCACACGCTCGACCTGCGCAGGGGCGCTGTTGCCCTTGGTAGCGGAGGTACCCTGGGAGAACCCAGTGCTGGAGGCCCCTGAGGCGGAGCCGGAACCCGAGCCGGAACCCGAGCTGGAGCCGCTGCTGGTGCCGGTAGAGCCTGTGTTGGTGCCGTTAGAAGCCATGCCGCCGGTGCCACCCATGTTCGTAGGCACACTGTCACTGCCAGTAGCGGTGGAGCTGCCACTGTGAGCACCGTAGGTCATGTTCAAACCGGTCGCAGCGAGAGAACCGAGAACGGTTGAGTTGCCAGTGATGGCAACATCGGCTTCCATGGCGGTGTCGGAGGTGTAGACGTAAGCATTGTTGCCAGTCTTCTTAGCCTCCTTGGGAGGGTCGTAGCAGGTCACGTCGACCTTTCCCACGGTTGCGTAGTAGTAGCCCTTTTCCTGAATGTCCTGGCTGTTCCAGTCAATCTCACCACCAGCCCAGTCGATGGTTCCCTGGGCGTTACCCTTCTGGCCAGCGGGCCAGAGAGACATCTGCAGACGAGCGGGGGTCTGAGGGTACTGGAAGCGGTTGGCAGTGGCGTTCCAGGTGTCGGACTTCTTGAGGGTGCGCTTGACCACACCGTCGATGATCCACTGGGTCTGGTCGGGCTGCCAGTCGATCTCGTAGGTGTGCCAGTCCTTGAAGGTGTCCTCGTTGGTGACGGAGGCGTTGGCACTGTTATGCCAGTCCAGCACACCCTGCCAGTAGTAGTTGGTCTGGACGGCAGTCAAGTCGGCACCGACCCATTCGTAGTCAATCTCATCCTTGACATCAGACAGCAGGATGAAGGCAGTGACCACACCCTTACCACGAGAGGACTTGATCTTGCCACTGACCTTGCCGTACCAGATGTAGTGGTTGTTGGCAAAGAGCGAACCCACAGAGTTCTTGGGCATGGTCATGAGGAGGTTGCCATCCTGCGTCTTGGGGAACCCGCTGTAGGTCCAGTCCGCAGCTGAGGCATTGCCCAGGTACTTGGTATTCAAGACGGTGTTATCCAAGTTGTCCCATGTGTAGCTCTTGTTTTCACAGATCGGCATGGGGGCACAAGAGTCAACCGAGAAGGAGGATTGGGCGTCACAACCACCCAGACAGTAGCCACCGGTACCACACTCGCCATATTCTGTGTTAGGAGGTACGTTAGGAAAGTATCAACCAAGGACAAGTAGAGCCTACAGGTGAGGCAGGAGGCAGGAGGCAAGCATGGTTCCTTGGGACGAAAAAATGCACCACAACGGCGATGTGAGGGGATAATATCGGATGACATGGGTCGAATCACTTACGGGAGCAGCAGGGCTTATCCTGCGGGCACTGCTTGCTTGTGCTACACGTGATGGTGTTGGAGCTTGCCAACACGGTGGCCGACAGGGACAAGGCCAGGAGAGAGGTCACGAAACGAACCATTGTGAATCGAGATAGCAGGATCAAGCTCACAAAAAATTATGTACGAGGGGGGGGGGGAGGGGGAAGGCAGGATCTGGGGTAAGGTTGAAAGTGGGTATGTGCGAGATCAGAATGTACAAGAAGGGTAAAAGGGGGAGAGGGAAAGATCGAGGAGAGTAAATAATCCAGAAGGAGCCACCGACGAAAACGAGCGGACGGTGGTGATTGAGATGCGTCGCGACGGGCTGTGAAACGAGAGACAGCAAGTGAAGACTTGAAGATGGTGACCGAGTCGATGGGCCAAGAGGAATGGAAGGAGGAAAGAGAGAAAGAAGAAGGAATGGAAAAAAGCAGCAGGTAATAATAGTGGAGGAGAGAGGAGGAGGCGATGTGGAAATGGGTGGACTCGGGTGGAGTCGTTTTTTCCCGGGTTTCTGCGCTAAACAACACTAACAACGGGGGGCCTGTCGGGTACATCGCCAAGGAGAGGTCAAAGGAACGATGAGTAAAGCCTTCCCCAAGGGGTCCAGTTTTCTTTCCACAGCGAACGGTGGGTAATTAATTGTATGGGTCACCAAGCTGCACATGGTTTTTGGGTTCAGGAAAGAGAGGAAAGAGGGATGTCTGAAAGATTTTATTCCTGCAAGTTGCCGAGTACTGTACCATATCGCTCTAATAGTAACCATTGAGCAATGTCAGTCGGGACTCGGGGGTGTATGCTGTATGGGATATGTGGATTAAGGGGAAAGAGATGATACAGTGATACATATGCCATTTGAGGCATTTCTACATAGTTTTCTACAGTACTATTACATACATACAGCATGTATGTATCTGTGAGTTCTGTCACTCTATTTTACAGAGACTCTGTCAGTGTTGTGTATTGATGATCTCTCATAGATCCGCTCTTGAATGGGCAGATTAACAAATGGAATATGAGTACACCATACTGTAGTACTTCTGGTCGAGGGCTGCTTGTGAGTCGCTACACACTGTAGCTGCCAAGCTGGCTACCGTAGTTCATTATCTTACAGAGCCATTCGAGGCTGCGTAACGGTTACGATCTGGCTAGGATCATAGGATGTAATTCCACGTGCATGATGATCATGCATCCCTGTGCATAACCCTATCCAAGGGATCATCTCTAATGACAATGATGCATGCAGTCGTCCTAATACTCACGCCCGAAACACTGTAGACTCTACAGTCTACACGGTCTGGGTAGTAGGCAATGAGGCATAGAGTAAACTGTAAGAACTGTAGATCGGTCGAGCTCCCAGAAAATAGGCTCGTCCGGTAATTTACAAATCACAGCACTGACCACGTGACACCAGTCACACCATAGACAGATGAGAGATCGCTGCAGCCTGGAAGATTCAAATGTCCACGTAAGGGATCTGTATCACGGTATCACCTGTAAGCCCTTAACCACAAAGGCACACAGACACAGACAGAAATCCCCCAGTCGTGGCACGGTGGCACTGGCACTGGATACGCTAGTGTCTTTTTCCCCACGGGTCGGTGGAGTACAGGACTGCATTTTCAAATTTTGTACTGTAGTAAAAGTTAACTTTGTGCACAACTTCACTCGTGCCCCAGGATTATCCAAGTGTATCCAGGCGTGAAATGACTCGAGTTGACCGACTTCACTCATTGCAATGACTCTCCAGAGTCCTCACCGTAAATTGACTGACTTCGGATCATCAATCTAGATGAGTAGAAGCGGACTGCCAGGGCCTGCTACCCAGTGCCCACGGACTACGTACACTCCTATCGTATTATATCAAAGTACAGAAGGTAATTAAAGGTATAGACGACAAGACATTAGAGTTGGACTGTAAATACTAAATTATTAGCAATGAAGAATACAGTCCAGAATGGAATGAAATAGCAGTTGTCTCGGTACAGCTGGAAGGCCCCATTCATCGCCGTGTCACGAGGTACTCACGGGCGGTTCCAGTCAATCGTGGCTGTCTTACCTCTAACCATCTGATTGGCCGTGTGTTGAACTTTACGAGCGGGTGCACCTATTTTTAACCCGTCCAGGGCATGACTCGGATCTCCAGAGATCATATAGACTGGTCCGATCCAACCCCGGCACCTGTAGCCGATATTCAAGCGCCGACTTACAGGAGTAGTGGAGTACAACGAACAATAGTATAAGATTCGATCGTGATGCGGACACAGGTGCGGTGCCTGAGATTGTTGAGGGGTGTCCCGGAACTTCAATTAGTGAATACTTCATGTCTTCCAAGATCAGACCGAGTCTACCACGAGCCTACAGCGAGCCAAGGCAAGCCTGTCCCAGAACCGGGAACCTTGGTAGATACATACCAGATATTGGAAGATTCGGTCGGTGAGCGCACCAGCTGAGTGTCCAGTGTCCACGCAGAGCTGCCTGCAGCCCTGCACGGTCTCGCAGCCGCACAAGAAAATTTCTTCTTGCTGGGGCTTAGGTGGATCAAATGGAGCCGAGATGATCACGCCACAGCGGTGATGCTCGAAGCTTGGTACTGCCTAAGACGGGTCTACCTCGATATGGAGTTGTTTCCGTTGTTCCAGCACGACGACCATGATATCATGGTTCTGGGAGATTTTCGTACGAGGGATCTCCATGGATGCAGCAGTGGCGATTCTCCACTTCTGTAAGGATCTATTACACCTACCTTATTAGCTATCAGGGAACAAGACAACCTCGAGAAGCACCTTGTGCATGTGTCTGCATGATCAGGAACCTCAGAGCTCCGCCAAGTTCCAACAGGTGCAGTGTGTAATACACGTGCATATTTTTCATTCGAGACCTTGATACTCGGTTGATTCGCTTTCTCAAACATTTTACTGTAGAGTGTAGAGTGTAGACTGTATAGACTATAGAGAGCACCGAGGAAAGGGGCCGGTCACTCTAATGCTTTCGTATAGTGATGTCTCGGGTAGGACGGAACAAGGCAAGCCACTGTGGATATAGCACCCAGTGACATGTGCAAGCTTGAAGCTTCTCGGTAAAGTAGTAGACAACGAGACGAGACATCCCCTCTCATTCTAGACTTCTATATAGCATGTCATTCAATAGTAAATATCAACCCGTTCCCCCCTCAAAAGACCTGGATGGTGTGTAACAAGAGAGCGCGCAAGGGTTGTGATGACAAGGACTCCACCATCGCAAGGTGCGAAGGCGCGGCCCTGCAATAATGACACAACTGCAACTGGGCTGGAAGATCTCCCATATCACTCGCCCGGGCGGTACCTGATTCGAACAACTTCAGGCTGCGGGTGGGCATTATGCTGTGGCGCCGCAAAGGAGCCAAGCTCGCTCGTCGCAGACCCAGCTGGTCGGTACAACGTAGGAGCCAAGTGCTCGAGAAAAGTATCTGGCCAGTCCATTTCAAAGTCTTCTTGCGCCTTGAGTGGATGATCAGCGCACATCGACATCGGATATCTCCTTTTGCGTGTCGTTAAAGGTCCGCTTGACTGCGCGAGACTCACAAACCATCATGGGAGAACACAAGCTAGGGCACGACCGTCATGGGCGGAAAGATGCATCGCGGACTTCGACGAACGAGTTCAACGATGCGATCATGCTGAATGCCGGCTGATACCCTTGGGCGGAGATCACCCACTGCGCCAGTGCACGCTTCCTGATCGACAAGATCCGCAGTCAAGGGGATTCATCAGCCAAGTTGGAAGTAGGCACATCAAAGTGTATTTGATGATTACGCACCGCACAAGATCATTCCCTTTCCTCAATCTCTACATGGGCACTATCGCGATCGAAAGAGGTCAAGTGCATGCCGGCACAGAAGAAGAAACCGGTTCTGCCAAAGCGACTTCCTCAGTGTGGCCAAATCGTGGGCAATGCTAAATCCTCTTGGCTTTCTAGAAGGAATGTTCGAACGCAAGTACGGGCACAAGCGCATGGTCACACATTCCAGATCAACGGCGGTACCGGGCAAACCCAGCGACTGAGCGTTTACGGTGGGCCGCTGCCGAGGAATGTGTCGCTGTGTTCGTTATCGGACAGCCCTGGTGGAAGCAAGGGGCAAGGAGAGGGGTTTGTGGTAGATGCTGATAACACCTCTGAGATATTAGCAAAATCGAATATCACCAGATCATTCGGAATAAAGATTGGAGGCGAGAATGAAAGCACAACTTTTGAATGTGGTGTCTCGAACGAGGGGCTTCAGGGATCCAGACCATTTTCAAGTTCAAACATGTAACCTTGCACCCTGCCCGTGCAGCAACTTGTAGCTATCTCGTCACGAGGCAATGTCTGTGTACCTTGTGTATGTCCTTTACAGTTGCTATGGCAGTGGGCAGACCAACTTGGTCTCTATTCAGCTTACCATGTACACGGAGACTCATCGTCAAAGCTCATTCCTCTTCGACTTCCACCACGGGAGTTACTGATTTGCTTGGTTGCTGTCTCCAGGAATATGGCCCGTTTCCTTGCAGGAAGATACCCAGAAGGTCACATAACACATCAGACTGCAAAGCTCATGGAAACATACTCGCGCACCATCCGCCAGCTCTGATCAGCTGGATTGCGCTCATTTCGCCAGAAGCTGAGAATGGGCTGGTCCAAGCGAAGATTCCACTGGGCTATAACTTCAGAGGTGATGGTCTTGGCAAGACTGTCATCTGGCTGAATGATTGAGAAATGGCCGATGCGCGCTTCTTCTGGGAGAATCTGTGCTAAGAAATCCTCTTGAAAGGAAGGAGTCTGCTTGTCGGAGACAAGATAGGGACTTCTGTGCGTTTGGCAGACTTGGTCACCGGCGACAAAGTGATCCAGCGTGGGTAGACAGCACTTCGTTGAGCCTTGCAAGATCGCCATGCTCTTCATTTCTTCAAATCGCATGATATTCTCTCCGAATGACACGGCAGCTGAAGTGCTGGAGAATCCTTGTACGCGTGGACAGCGTTGCAACAGAGCGATCGCCTCGCGCCTTGTAGCCGGCTCTCGACATCGCAGACAGGTGAACCAGAGGGCTACCCCTGGGTTGAGATCTAGAGTCATCGGGGGTTGTGTTCCATCGGGTCTTATAGAGGCATTCAAGGCGATACGAGACTGCTCCACAATGGTTTGAAAGTTCAATAAGAATTGATCGGTGATGACCTCCGATGACGAGGTGGATACTTTCAACATGACGAAGAGCGCCTCGTGACTTGCAATCAGGAGTGCAATGGTCCCGGGGTCGTTCAAGGTTGACTTTTGCAGGTGCCGAAAAGCCACGTACCAGTTTGCTAGTTGAAGTAACAGACTCTCCTGTAGATCACACATATGTTGGGGTACATTCGGACCATCGGGGCTCAAGAGATACTCCCCACAAGCATGTTGCAAGAATTGGGCCTCGGCACCCAGGCGTGAGATCTCATTTCGGAGAGATTTCAAGGAGACCGTTGAATCGCTTGATTTCAAAGAAGCGTCTTGTAGAAGGAGATGAAGCTGCGGTTGGGAGACCGAGAATCCTATCATACCCAGGCGGATGAACATGGGTATAATCGTGTCGTCCAACAACGAGGCATCCGTCGTTGCCACCAATCCGAAAGCGCGCTGAGCGCGCAATGTGAGAATCAACTGTACGCCTTGGCCATAAAGCTGCATGGCTTCTTCGACGCCACCCCTGAGAAACTCAACACAGAGAAAAAGCACACAACTGACGAGGCCAACAAAGATATCAACGGCACCGCGGGCGATCTGTTGTCGTACCCGCGAGAGAGCACGCACGTACCACTCGAGTGCATCTTGATAATTGCGGTTTTTCTTCGCATCTGGTATCGCCTCGGGACTACTCTCGAAAAGGGCACTGATAGAGATGATGGCATCCCAGACCGCAGGCTCCTTCTGACATATCTGGGGAACGAACCTGCGCCAGAAATCCAAGTCCAACTGGCCGCCGACGGCTGATGCGGCGTTCTGGTAGTAATACGCAAAGGCGCGCCGTTCTCGCCATACTACACTTGACATGGGCGATATTGTCCTTTGAGGAATTCGCTGGCAAGCCAAAACCGGCTTCTGATTTTGCCTGGAGCGACTGTGGTCATAATCGCACCGACGACCAGTGCTGGTGCATCGCACACAGTGAGGCTTTTCCTCCCCGCATTTCACCTTTCGAATTCTGTAACAACGTAAGTTTCCACAGCATGGATATGAGGACAAACTAGGATCGACCAACCTGCACGTTTGACAGCCTGCCCTGGACCGTAACAGTCCGAAACAGGATTCGTTGGTCGTCGAGCGTCCTGGCATAATGACTGATTTTATGTGGTCAACCACTAGTTACTGCCTACTTCCGTCAAGGTGCCCTCTGCCAGTGCCTCTGAGGGCTCGCGTGATCAAGTTCTCCAACCGGACGTACTATGCCCTGTTCACCTCGTGGATGTTGTGTACATGCTTCACTCAGAGGACATGAAGAATCAAGTAGCTTTTGGGAAGACGACGTTGACGGAGCGACAAGTCAGGTCTTGTCTTCATCTGGTGTGGTTTGGGGGCCGAGACTGGGCGGAGATCCGTAGATCAGGGGGTTCACCGGAAACCGACCGCATCTCCTAAAATTTCCCATGTGCGATACCCAGAGCATCTCGAACACGATCCAGCGCGCAACTCAATGTCTTCGATACGGCAATGAGGCGTCAGACCTCGACTCAATGCACCACTGTGTCGAAGGCATTCTCTGGAGACCGGCAGATTGCTTCGCCAAAGTGGGAGCATTTTATGGGCTGCGATATGGGACTACCTGAAGTGAAGAGCTATATGGAGACTCCAAAAGGCCTGCAACTACGATGTATGTAGAGAGTTCAAATGAGGATATCTCAGGAAATGTATTTCCGCGCACTACCAAGTACTTTCCATCACGAGAGCTCCAATCGGCCCTATACACGAACAGGATTGCCGTTTCCAAATTCGCGCAGAACAAAAACGTACTGACTGGACGTGCTTCCACCGCAGGGTAGCACGATTCTCATCAGTACAGTCTCCGAGTCAATGCAGAACTCCAAATGAGCGAGAAACGACAACCCACGCACCGTAGATCTTGGAGTTACGGGCAGACTTCTAGGCAGTCGAGTATAACAAGCGAGCGAGATAGATAGACTGTAGGTAGCGACGCTATCGCACGTATACAATCATAAGTGGCTTCACTGTGGTAAATGGCAGGATTGCCAGCAATCGATTCGTAGCACAGGTTGAATGAACCGGAATATTAATTTATGTACATAAAGGTAGAGAGGATGAGCTCTCCCGTGCAGTCCGCCGTCGCGGTGTCATTTCACATATAGCTCTGACGTGGTATTCGTGTTGAAAAAGGGTGGAAAGAAGATTGTTGAATAAAGGTTGAATGGTCGAAGTTTCTTGATTTTAGATCTTGGAGGCGAGTCACTCTGACAGTGGAGGGAAGTTTCGGACGTAGCTAATTGTTAAAAGCCTCATTGTTAGTGTTTGTCGACCATGATCATACGTTCGACCGAGTGTGACAGGTAAACATACTGAGCTGGGCACTCGTATCCAGCCGGGTTCTTGGTCAAGTAGAGCTGGTGGTAGTCCTCGGCATCCCACCACTGACCCGCAGGGACCACTTGGGTGGACACGGGTTTCTTGTACCACTCCTTGCTAACTTTTTCTGTGATCTCTTCGGCAATCTTTTGCTGCTCTTCGCCATGTGTGAAGATGGCGCTTCGATACTGAGTCCCGACATCGGGTCCCTGACGGTTTGCCGTAGATGCGTCGTGCATGCGATAGAAAAATTCGAGGAGTTGGCGGTAGGAGACGATCGAGGAGTCATAGGAAATTTGGAGAGCTTCGGCGTCTGCGGAACAAGAAAGGTGAATGTACGCAATTAGCTATTGTCCAGGGCCATTTCTTTTATTCTTTTTGCAGAGAGCGCTACTTCGGAGACGAAGCGCCCTAGGATCGCTTCGGGGGTCACTTACGGCCAGTATCTCCGCCACAGACAGCACGGTAAGAGGGCGACGACGTGTTGCCACCACAGTATCCAACCCTCGCGTCCAAGAGACCCTTTCCGTTGCCAAAGTGCTTGCGGTACAAGTGCTCAACGCCCCAGAAGCAGCCGGCTGCCAAGGTGGCTTTCTCAGTAGTTGCTGACATGTTGCGCGCGGAAGTCTCGGGAGTCAAGGAGAGCACGGGCGAGGTAGTTGAAAATGGACGGTAGAATCGCGAGAAGAGAGAGGAAACAATGGGCGCAGCAAAAGCCATCAGCTCGAAATGATAATTTCTCCAAATGTGGAGACTGGAAGACAAATTGGTGAATAAGATAAGTGGGGATACGGCGGATGGATTGATAAGGCGGATTGAAGTCACAAACCCTGGAGCAACTGCCGCAGTCACGTTCGGTGGACGACGTTCAAACAAATGTCTTGAGAACGAACAAGATCGAATTCAGTCGTTGAAGTGCGGTGGACAGGGATCGGAGATCTACATGTGTCGGAATGTCCACGGAGCCCGGGGTTGGGAGGCGACAGACTGACTAAACGACTCGGAAGTATTTCCTGGGATAAGCTGATGTCCGCCCGATTTGGACGCTAATCGCGACTAAAAGTGGCGTCATCCGGCTGTCTGACAAATCGAAGCTCCCCGCATCCTGCAGAGTTCAGATCGACCCGAGTCACGGCAATCGAACAAGCTAACAGTTACTTGAACGGCACAAAGCTGGAAGGACTGACAGTAACTACCACCTGCCACAAAGAAGTATGCCATCGTTGAACACAAAAGTTGGTTGACACAAATCTCACATCATTAATGTACACGAAAGAACAGCAAGAGAAGGTTTAGTATGTGAAAGAAAGAAGGTCGGAAAGAAACAGATCATAGACCAAAACACAAGGGATAATCTCGACAAGGGGATGGCTGTGTCGTTGCCGCCGCCCACTGAGATATTCAAGTACAGATGCATCGGAAGGACAAAACCGGTAGACCATAAACTCCACAAATTTGTGCTCCGACCCGATGATAGATATGAGGAAGGGAAAAATAGAATGCAAGTGTTATAAAGACAAAAACAGAAGTGGTATCTTGCGCGCTGATGCCCATTGGCAGAGGTATGGATGGAGCCGAGCTCATGAAGCCGCAAGGCCGGAGGAGAAGCTTGATGAGGGTGCAGAAGACCAGAAGAGAGAGAGCAAAGGCCAGCTTATCGCATACCTGCCTGGCTGGGTGGTGAAGGTGCGTTGGCGGGTGCAGCAGCAGCGCTAAGTCGAAGGGCGTCTCGAGTAGACAAGCTGGCACCGCGAGGGCGGATATCACCTCCCAGAATGGATCGCCGCGCAGTATGCTTCATCACAGGCAGATTGTGGGGGCTCAACACGCTGGGTTTAGTCTCGCCTTCGCGCTCGCTCTTGACCATGCGACGAGCTTGCGAGGCGGTGAACATCGTGGTCATCGCGCTCGGGTTGTTTTCGCTCGGAGAACTGCTGTAAGTCGCGGAAGTAGGGCTTCGACGGCGATGGATGCGCAGCGAATGACTGCCAGAAGTCGAGCCCGCGTGGCTGCTGGAGATCCGACGCATGGCGGAGGTGATCTTCTGCGCCTCATCTTTGTCTGCCTTCCAGCTGTCCTGACTTTCAGACATGGGGCTGCTGGAGAAGTTGCCACTGGGAGACCGGACAGCGATCCGAGATGGCCTCTCGGTTGGGGCCCGATTCAAGAAACTGCTCCCTTCGATGTCGCGAAGAGGCGATTTCTCACCGTCCGAGGAGAGAAGGCCGGTCGAGGGGGAGGACCGAGAGGGGAGCTACCGGCCTTCTTAGAAAGAAATCCGGCCTGGAAACGGTTGCCATTTTTGGGGATGTGAAGAGTCGGCTCAGCTGTCCCCGGGACAGGAGCAAGGTTGTAGGAAGGGCTGACCATGCGGGGAATAGTTCGTGAGATTGAAGGTGCCCCTTGAGGGAGAGATGGCTCGGTGTGCTCCGCTTCGTATCCGCGACCCTGCATGGAATCGCGGGCGGGCTTCTGGGGAGTCCGCTGGTACTCAATCAGGGGACCATCTTCCTCGTCGTCCTTCCAGCGTACTGATCGCTTGGATGTCTTCGCTTGCGTCTTTTTGGGCGTAAAGCTGACGCTCTTGCGGCCAGCCGTCACCTTTCGTCGCCGAGGAGAACCTTTGGTGGGCGACGGAGGAGCCACCGGGGCAAGCTGAAGTGAGGGAACTAGAGAAAGGCGCGGAGCGGGCATGCCGACCAAGCTGAACCGTTTCTTGGGCTTCGAGGGGCTCGCTGGTTTGAAAGGGCTCTGCAGGTTAATCGAGGGTACCGATGGCAGATTCGCATCCGGCTTCACTAGATTGGCAGTCGCATTCTGGCAGTTTTCAAGCATCTTTGAGAGAAGTTCGCGTCCCTTTTGCAAAGCCTCGTCTGCATTCAACTGCATAATGTCCTCGATGGAAGCGATCAGCTCGAACTGGGCCTGAAGCAGTGATTGCACCGCGGCCGCTTCACCAGCTTTATCCTGCTCAATGACGGCGGACAATGCCTCCCGCTCGGCGTTGGAGCGGAGAAGCTCAGCTTCTCGGTTTAGATTGGCGAGATCACTGTTGTCGCTAATATCACACTCCCGCAATTGTTTCGTCGCATGTTCAACGGCGGACATCATGCCTCGATCCCAACTACTCTTGGACAATCGCTGATTGTAATGGTGCCGGCTGCTCTCAAGCTCGAGCAGAATGCCTTGAGCGGACTTTCTCACGGCATAAAGATTGGAAAGCCCGTCCTGACCAGCCCGAGATTCGCACACACTGTCGAAGGCCGCAATCCACGAAGAGAGTGTTCCAATACGGCGACTGATCTGACGTAGCTTGAGCATATTATTGGTCTTTTCCTGGCGTTCAGGAAGACTGTGCTCGTAGGCACTGCGAATTCTGGTGACGCCGTCACGGACAATAATATCCTTCTTTTCGGTTTGCTTTTTGAATTTGGTAAAAGCGACCTTTTCAGAGTCCTTAGCCTGCGCCTTGAGCTCGTTGATCAAGTTCATCTGCTCGTCGATCTTGACTAGGAAGTCCTTGACGTGTCGGTTGACATTGAAGACGTTGCGAGTAACCTTTGTCTGGATGTTCTTGGCTCGGTTCGCATAGCGCAACGTGTTTTGCGTCTCGTCGAAGTGTTGACTAGAAGGGCTGACGCAGACGATCATGACTGTTTTGCAATTTCCCCCGAGCGCAAATTTCAAAAGTCTTGTCAACTTCGAGTTTCGATACGGAATGTGATTGCGCTTTCGAGGATCACACAGAGCGTTGATGCAGCTTCCCAGGGCAAGCAAAGACTTATTGATGTTGGCACCTTCAAATAAGCGCTCGCCGCGGTTCTTTGTTGCACTCGCTCGTTCGCTGCCTGCCAGATCAATAATGCTGAGGGTCGCCATGGTGTGAGGCTCATTTTGGCCAGCATTTCGATCTTTTTGTGCAACATTGATTTGGAGGACAGCGTGTGATCGTGAAGATGTCGCATTGGCCGCAGTGGGCGACATGGTCCGACATTCATTTCCGCGCATGATCATTTCCATGACCTGCTCCACGTTCTGCGGATGGTGGCTCGACAACCCCGCCACGGAGACGGACTGATTCACGTCCTCGCGAAGCATTAGACCCCCCTTGCTTGTGCCGGGAACTAGCAAGTCGCGGATGGTTTCATTGTAAATCTCAAGGTATGACAGTGAGATCTCTGTGGATTTGTCACCAGATCTTTCTTCGATCCTCTCGAATAGCTCTTGCATTGTCAAGAAAATGATACCAGGTTGCTGCGCAGTTCCCGTGATTGTGTGTGTCTTTCCACATCCAGTCGCACCGTAAGCAAAGACCGTTGCATTGTATCCGTCGAGCACACTGTCGAGAAGACCCCGCGTGGTGGCTTCGTAAACTTCCCCTTGGGAGGCATTCTGATCAAAGATCCGATCGAATGCGAATGTCTGGTCCTTGACGCGTTTGCCATTGGGGACCACGCTCTTAGAGAACTTTTGGACGGGATTATCTTCAGGGGGATCAAAGACCCTACCGATGGTCAGCTTCCGAACGGCATAGATCACTCGCTTCTCCCCATTCATGCATCACCAACTTACAGGCATCTGTCGTCAATGACCTTGATAACAGACCGTAGGCCCTTCTGATTCAGCTTGGGAGTCGGTACGCCCGCCAAGGAGCCATCACCTAGGAACAGAGGGCTATCGTCGGTTCGAGACAACTGGGCCGCCTCCCGGATAGTGAAGGGCCTCACGCGTACCGCCACGGTGATCGAAGAAGCGCCATCGGAGGAGGCCATGCTAGAGCTGAAGGGCGTGTTTCAAGCCCGCCGAATCGCGGATTAGGCGGGGCCGGGGTCGAGGCAAGAATTCAAAGTGGCGTGGATCGGGATTGTGAAATGTGTCGAAAACGATGATGACAGATGAAGAATGTGTGGAGCTCGAGGTTTATGGGGTACGGGTTGCAGTATTCTCCGAGAAACTGCTGACGTGCGTTTTCATTTGTTGACGAGGACTGGGTGTTGCCCGCTCCTGGTTGCTCCGGGCAACCCTTCCAGATGTGGTGATTAGCTTGCATTGGGCCGTGGCCGTCCTTAAGCCACACCGCCGCTAGTCCGGATATGAGGGATGACCGGATGGTTTGACGCTTGCATTTGGTGACAGAGCAGATTAGATCTGAGTGCCACGTTGTTTTCATTTATCTCTTAGCACTAAGTTACACGGCCTCATCTCTGCATAGATTGTCAAATGCGAAGATGCTCAATCACCACTTCGGACTACATACATTGGGCATTCAGCACTGTAGTCCGGATCGTCGGTACAATACTGACACTGACAATAGTGAAGATGTGAAGCGAATAGCATTCCATTGACCGTATCCTTCGTTTTCACATTGCTTCGGCTACTGCAGATAAGTTTCGACGAGTACTTGCAATACATGCCTTGCATATTCACACCTCAATCTTGCTATGATGACCCAAAGCAAAGGTAGGTTGCCCACACCATACTAAAAAAAATCATTTCATTCTGGTCGCTCGAGTCATTATTCAGTATATTGGAGGACGTGCTGAACGAATTGTCCGGTGGGAATTATGGTCTTAGTAGGACAATAACGGCGCGTATGCTGATGCAAGACTAAGGAAATCATGGTCTTTTGAGTCGCACCAGTCCATGCTTGTAGCAGCTGTTGGCTCTCAGAACCGCCCAATCGTACAGTGCGCAACTGAGAGATGCTCGATAGTCAACTAGAAGAGTATCCTAATTATTGTTCTTCGTCCTCGTCGTCGTCGTCGAATTTCGGCATGACGACATCCCATCCTGGATCTTTTGAATCAACATCTGTCTCTACCTCATCGGTTTGTGAATCACCGCTCGGGCTGCGAAAGCGAAAGGCAACAATATGCCCGTTATCGAGCTTAGCATGGAAAAGCGTCTCATTCGATTCCTTTTTTCCATTGCTCGATTTTGTCGCACTGCCGTGCTGCAGGGAAAGTAGGGTCCAGCCTTTTTCTACGTCACTGCGGTCTACCAGGACTCCAAATTCAATCGATGCAGATTCCGAGGGCACAAATTGCCCGTTGATCTCTGTCACGTTGCGCGATTTTAAAGCTTCCAGTAGCTCGTCTTTTGCTGTCGTGATAGGTGTCTGCGGTGGGAGGGAGAGCAGGACGGTGGTTTTGTGCTTCTTGAAGAGGAGAGTTATGGAGCGCGGGTCCGCGGTGGCTGATTTGGGCGGCTGCTTGAGAAGTCAGAGAAATGCGGATGGGCAGTTGAAGGGAGACGATCACATGTACCATGTTTGATGATTTGCTAGCGTGTTGAACGGTTGGATGCCGAATCGCAGGATGAAGCCCGACGGACGAGAGTTGAGCAAGGCGGAAAGTCGGAGCAAGGTGGGGCCAGACCGCGCTCCGGATTTCCAGGTAGTCTGCGGCGGTGATCTTTGGCTTCTTCGAATTTGCCAGCTCAACGTTGCTCACCAAGGTGCCTCATCAAATCCCTCCCATTCCACAATTCGACCATGGAATCGCAGTCGTCATCTTCTCGGCTGCCTGAGGAGTCCTCGACTCTCCTGAAACTGGTGTACTGGCATAGACTCTTCGAGTCTGACACTCCGCCACGACTGGGCATCGATGTCCAGCGACGGATCCCCTACGCGTTCATGTCCGCGTTCTCGGCAGGCATGGCCCTTGGATATCTGCATGGGAGCAAAAAAGCCGGGCTAGTGTTTCGCGCCGAGAATGCCCATCGATTCCCGACCACGTCCGCTGGTTGGTTCCAATATCACAAGACGAAGAACTATATCTCGGTGGTGGGTGGTGTCAAAGATGGCTTCAGGATGGGCATGAAGCTGGGCGGGGGGGCCCTTGCATTCTGTCTTTTCGAAGAGACGGTGGACTACGCCCGCCACGATGAGCGAGACTTTCTATCAACGGTGACAGCCGGTCTGTCTTGCTCGGGGATTTATAGTCTGCTAGGTAAGTCGCGCCCCAACAGTTGCCGAATACACAAACGATTGACTCAACACACTCTTCTCAGCGCGACATGACGTTTACACCGCTGCGAGAACAGCAAAGCTTGGCCTGAAAATGAGTTTAGCATATGGCCTTCTACAAGATGTCCTCGAGACGATGAAGGGAAATAGTCCATCGTATGTTGACTTTGCGTTGGGCAATCGTCGCTTCAAGCGCGATGAAGGAGATCAGGTGTGAATCTGGGGCTTGCAAAGCTAGTGAAGTCTCATGGTGTCAAATGTCGCCCTTTTGAGACATCGTTCGCCTTCAAACCCACAACGTCCATCGCATTCCTCTTGCGGCTTGTCTAGTTGCACCCCATCCTATGGCATGGGATCGAAGATTGGACTCACAGAAGCACTTTGACTCAGCCCAGTGTCTCTGAATTGATGGCTCGCAGAGGATGATGCACCTCTGTCAAGTCAGACACGGGTGGGACTTCAAAGTAGCAGGTCCGATCCTGCCGTCAAGCGACTTTCTCGCTCGACCGACCGTCGAATGACACAAAGCTTCATTCAGACATATCTTCTACCTTCTCGCCATTTTGGACCGATTCTCAGTTTGGCGTTTCTTCTTCATGGCTCATCCCGTTAGGGCCTCTATATCGCCCAAATCTTTCTTTTCCTGTATTTCTTTGATACCCCATTGCACTGCCATTTAATATGATCTATTCCACCTGCCTCTCTCCAGATGGAGAACTAGATTATTCATCTCTCAAGTATAGTAGTCTCAGGAGATGTGTACCACTTGAGCACGTGATGCCCAAAGCATGATTTTGCCGACCTGAGACAAGCATGGGTGCTTGCTCTGAGCACGTCGGCCTCTATCACTACTACCTCGCATCCCCCACCATATGAGTCAATGAGTCTTCCATTCTCAGAGTGGCTGCGACGTGGAAGCAAACCCGATATTTGACGCTGCCGAACAGACGCTTTCTCCGCCCGAGCGCTAGAGACACTTGGCTGAGAACCCGCTTAGGCCCTGAAGGGCGTGGCTGCCTGGGTCAATAGCCGCCAAGCTACCAAGCTGTACCAGGCTGAAAGAGATACCATTCAGGCTAGAGACTTCAGCGTTGCCCCTGCTGAGTCCTCGGGAACAGGTCACCTTAAGGCGAGATGCACCTTTTCCAGCTCCCCGTGCTAAAGGATCATGAACCGATGGTGTAATTCGCCCTTTCGACTACAAAGGAGCAAAGGTACCTAAAGAATGCGACAGTCCGATCAGCAATTGACCGCCTTGCATGGACCCCCACTAACAGCGGAACAAAGCTCTAGCTGATCGTCCCTCAGAAGATCGTAATCTTCAGCGCAGTCGACTGGGAGCTGAAGCTTTCATGCGGAGTGGACAAAAAGTGGAGCTGAGCTTGAAAGGAGCTTTGGCCGGCTTGCCTCTCATAAAGCTTCCGCAAGAGCGCCAGAAGATCGGTGGAGCTCGACCGCATTTGACGTCGCAGAGCCGATTCCTTCCACCCGACCTTCTCTGACCGGACAGGAATCTGTCTCCCTTTAGAGCTTTGACATCCTCTACATCTGTGGACCCTGTTATTCTTCCCCCTCCTTAACAGAGCCTCTTGCAGATGTTGCTCTGCTAGGACTAAGCACATTCCCATTGGGCGTCGGGAAATGACGACTGGCAGCTTGATATTGGTGCTCTTGTCGTCGACGTCATCGTTCCATTGACGGTTCTGGGAGTCTTGATGCCGCGACCCTCGTCGATACGGACTTTGATCACGAAAGAAAGTATTTAACCCTCGATATCATGCGCCGCCATGGAAGATCCAGCGGGGGCCCGACGAAGGCCGTCTCGCCTTTGTCCGACACGGTCTCGCTCATCCATTCCTTCGACTCTGTCCTCAACCCGAATCGGCCCGCCCGACCTTCTCCTTTAGCCTCATCTCATATCAAAGCTCTTCCGCTCGAGCTAGTCGATCGCTTGCGATCCTTTCCTCTATTTCAAGCGACGCCCGAATCTTTTCTGATCGAGGTCGGTCAACACCTGCGGCCGCAGCTTCATGCGCCCAATGATTACATCTTAACGGAAGGTGATGATGCACGGGCGATATATTGGTTGGTGCGAGGCGCAGTGTCGGTCACCTCGCGCGATGGCGAAAGTATCTATGCTGAGCTTAAACCGGGGGCATTCTTCGGAGAAATCGGCGTTCTGATGGACCGGCCGCGCACTGCTACGATCATTGCTCGCACCAGATGTATGCTAGTGGTTCTGACGAAAGAAGACTTTCGGAATATCCTGCCAAGGTTTCCGGACGTGGAGCGGGCGATCCGGGAAGAGGCCCAAGAGCGCCTGACAATCTTGGAGAAGAAGAAGCAGGAAACCTCTGCTCCGGCGCTGGATAAACCGAGTGCTAGCCCCGTGCGAAGGGGCTCCAAACGCTTGCGAGAAAGCAACTCGAGAGATCTGACGACCGCTGAAGAAGATGTCAATAGCAGCTTCATTCACAAAAAACGCAAGTCACCGAGTCCCGGACGCTGGGACCCCTCAAGCGCACTTGCAAACGGCTTGGTGAATGTTCGTCTCTTGCTGAAGGAGCTCCCCCTGTTCAAAGAGTTGCCGGCCGATATTCTACACTTCTTGGGTCTCAACGCACAGCCGAGCTCTTATGCTCCCTTCACCGACATCATCAAGCAGGACTCCCAAGGTCGTGAGCTTTTCTTCATTGTGCGCGGCGAAGTTGAAGTTGTCACGGAACGGCGCGGGCAGTCCATGAGCAACGGCCGTCATGAAGTCGAAATCAAAGCTCGCTTGAGGCAAGGCCAATATTTTGGCGAAGTGGTCAGTTTGTCACTTGCACCGCGAAGGACAGCCACCGTACGGTCCGTGACCTCGGTGGAATGTTTGATGATCAGTGGGGATGTGCTCGAAAAGTTTTGGGATATGTGCCCTCACGAAGTGCGTGAGCAGGTGGAGCGCACCGCCCAAGAGAGACTAAGTGCTGCTGCGGACGGTGATGTTATCATGACGGACGCATCTGAGGAGCAATCTCCCATGGGCGAGCTGCCTGTCAACGAGAGAGTCAGGGTCACAGCCACCCGGCGACGTTCGATGCCGTTATTGACACTTACAGAGACGGAGCTTGACGGCCCTCATCAATCTTCATCAAGTGAGGACCAAGAGCAAGCGGTTTTGAGACCATCAGATCCTGATCCATACCTAAGCCTCGGATTAGACAAGGTCCGTCTTCGAAGTCGACGAGGCTCGTTAGCACCCTTGACTCCGGAGGAAATCTCAGGCGATGAAAAGCCAGTACAACCGAATGCATCACACGCTGCCGGTTCGTCGTCAGATCTTGCTCTCCCCGCCGCCCACAGTCTATCGAAACCTCAGCATAAGCCCCATCGAGTCGATGATGCCGCCCATGGTGTCTTCCCAGACAGCATTTTACTAAGGATCTTTGAATACATGGAGCTACATGAGCTAATTGGGCTTCGTGGCGTGTCCTCACATTGGTCTGATATTCTGAACACGTCAGATAAAATCGTTCAGGATCTGGATTTGAGTATCTACAACCGCTGTATTACCGACGATGTGCTTGTGAAGGTCATCTGTCCTTTCGTTGGGAGTCGACCGCGCTCGGTCAACATCAACAACTGCTTCCACATTACCGATGAAGGCTTCAATGCTTTGGTCAAAACGTGTGCGCCTAATTCGGTAGTATGGAGGATGAAAAGTGTGTGGGACGTCACGGCCTCTGCCATACTCGAGATGTCTAGCAAAGCCGTTGATTTGGAGGAAGTGGAACTAAGCAACTGCCGGAAGGTTGGAGACACTCTCATGGCACGAATCATCGGCTGGGCCGTTCCTCATTCCAAAAACGAGAGTAAAACTTCATCCATCAAGCCAACTCTTCAAACCGCGGAGGCCGTGGTCTATGGCTGTCCGAAGCTCAAGAAGCTCACACTGTCTTACTGCAAGCACGTCACGGATCGGTCTATGCACCATATTGCATCTCACGCCGCGAAACGCATTGAAGAGATGGATCTCACAAGATGCACCACTATCACGGACCAAGGATTTCAATACTGGGGCAATACACGTTTTACTAAGCTCCGGAGACTCTGTCTGGCAGATTGCACTTATCTGACAGACAATGCGATTGTACACCTGACAAATGCTGCCAAGCAGCTGCAAGAGCTCGATCTAGTAAGACCTTCCCAGCCTTTATATGATTCTTCGAGCTTGGTTTGTTGACTGTTCTTACTTAGTCATTCTGTTGTGCGCTTTCCGACACGGCAACTGAGGTTCTTGCGCTCCAATGCTCTCAGCTGCAGTACTTGAACATGTCATTCTGCGGATCAGCTATTTCCGATCCATCTCTGCGAAGTATCGGACTGCATCTATTGTCACTCAAATATCTCTCTGTACGGGGCTGCGTTCGTGTCACGGGGGTCGGCGTTGAAGCCGTCGCAGAAGGTTGTCATCAATTGCAAACGTTCGATGTGAGCCAGTGCAAGAACTTGACACCGTGGCTCGAGGACAATGGCCCAATGCGTTATCAACCGCGCATCGAATTTGACTTTGTTGCACCAAATGGGAAGAATTCCAGGTGATTGATATCCCTATCGCCAGTGAGAGCTCATGCTCTCATCTGCCGCGTCAGAGTTGAGGCTCCAGTGGAGACCCTTGACTTGACAACGCGCTGGCATGCCATGTCCCCTAATCGAGTTTCTTGTTCTATGCAAGTCAGGCAGCTTTGGGACAATATCACACTGCGGCCTGTACACATATCTCGATTGTCTCACGGGCCTGAATTTATGACATGTTCGCCTCGGTCTACAGAGGAAGCATTGATTCAGCGTCATTTCATTTCTCTTTGTGGCGGAGTTTTGATTGGCTGGCACTATATTCTCACTTTCAATCTTGTATCTTGCGCGCAGAGTTGAGCTTCTTGCGTATGTATGAATTAGGGTCTTCGGCTGGTCTGATATCTGGGTCTGTGGGGCATAGCAGGAGTTCAGAGAACGTCAGCGTCCTTCTTATGCGGGTGTCTAATTGCAACTCATGTTTTTAACAACTTCGCTTCACTGACGCTTCACTTCAAATGCTCTCTCCCGACGATGGGATGTGCCAACCTCGCTTTTCCTCGGTACTCATCGACGACTTCGTTGTAAATGGAACGGGCCGAGTGGGACTAAGCAAACCTCCCTTTCGCCCTTCATACTCTGTACTAGAAACACCATGCAATTCGAATATAATTCATCTTCAGCGGCTCCGACATATATGATTTGTGATACAATGACAAGACTTTTTCGGAGGTAATCACATGCCCGACCCTTAATGATTCAACGATTTATCGAGCTCACTTCCGTCTCTGATCTCTTTCAAAACTCTTCGATTTTGGAATCCGACTGACTGGAGATGGATCGCAAGGGAGTGGTCCCGAAGTTGACAACGAGATTAACAGATACACCTGCAAGCCCGGAAGCCATGACTCAGTACCAAAAGTGTATTGTGGCCGACGACAGCCCTGCGTTCCATCTCGACTCACTCGACGCGCCTTTCCAAAACAGCCCGAAACGGCAATCCCGCAGCTCTGCCAAGACCTGGTCGCCACCTTCACTGTCCCTTGCATTGAACTTATCAAAGACCCCTGCGCACGTGCAACCCTGTGCAAGCCAAATGCGCAGATGAATTGAAGCCGTCAAGCCACAGATGACTTCGAGAAGTTACCTCTCGACCAGTCACTGTCGTGACGGACATCCAGACATACGACTAGTAACGCGACCATGACGTCCTCAGCCGATGTCATCGTTCTGACCTCGTCGCCGACTGTCCCACCGAGGCTTCCCAGTCCTGTTGCCTACGAGACCGAAGCGACATATGTACCACAGCCGGCAGTCGCAACAACTCCCCGTGTCCCATCTCCGTCGTCGCTTTTTGTGCCGCCCTCACGATCGCGATTCTTCGACGCGCCGGCTCGAAAACAAGACACAACGAACAAAAAACGTCCTGCGAAGAAGGCTACTGCGCCGAAAAAATCCAAGAAGGCTGCAGGTCCATCCGAAACGCCGTCAAAGCTGAGCAAGGCTCATGGAAGTACCGCTCATGACGGAAAAGAGCAAAATGGTGATAATGGTCAGAAGAAGGCAGCGAAGCCCCGTGCACCTCGCAAGCCACGCGCAAAACCAAAGGCTCAAGCTGAGTCTGGTGCTTTGAAATTGAGCGGTAAAGTGATCAAGGCAGGCAAGCCGGAGGACCCTGGGTTGAAGCCAGTGAAAAAGAGGGCTGGGCGGAAGCAGACTGCTGTTCAGTCCACCTCAGAGGATTGCATGGAAAAAACTGGTTTACCAACGCCCTCGAATGCGCTTGGCAAAGATGAAGACCTGAATCTAGATGAGGCAACGAGGAGGCGAAGGGACTGGACGCCACCGGCAGAGACAATGTCACATCCGATCAGCACTGGGTGCGCTCAATGGACAGTGGCTGAAGTTTCGGACACGAGCAACAAGGCCGGTTTTGGGGACATTCTCACAGACTACACGTACTCCAGGTCCGGCTCAGCTACTGCAGAGCTCAGAGCGACAAGTGAGGGTGTGCCCACGAAGCGGAGGAAAATTGACCTTCTTGAGCCCCAAGGGCCAAGCCGGGCGTTGCGCAGGAAAGAAAACTTGGACCAAGATGACAGTTCATCAACAACATCTTCTGGGCGCCTATCAGCGCGCAAAATAAAACCTCAAAAACGATTTACAACCTTGACAGCCAGAATGACGGCTCAGTATGGGACTGAGAACACCGAAGATGAGCCGGGAGATAAAGATCTCACTCAATACATCGTCAAGTGCGACTCCAAGCGCAATTCAAAGACGAAAGCCAAAGCCCAGCAATCGAGCGTTGTTCTATCGCCAGAGGCAGCATTCCAGACGCTGGATCAACAAGACGTTATTTTTGGTACCTGCAGCCAGCTCGAGCGAGACGATTCGCCTGAAACACTTCGAGAAATGCAAAGGGGCCTTCCGCATGTCTGAGGACCTGGCCTTTCAGAGACGAGCTGGTATAGGCGACTTGGCTACTTCGGAGCCATCTATGGCAAGTGAAGATGCGCCTGACCTTATGTCGCGGTCCCAGAGTAAAAAAAGGCTGTGGAGTGTTGCTGGTAGAGACATGCAAGGCTCTTTGGTCCAAGCAGAACTTGTCGAAAGCCTCGATCTCACAGACTTATCGCTTGACAACAATACAGCAATTCCGCCACAATGCGACTCAACCGTGAGAGCGCTGTCAAACGCACCGTCAGACGATGATTGGCTCGACCTTGACAATGGCAAGGCTGGACTTTCGCTCGCCACGAAAGTTACCAACATTATTCAAACAACGACGGCCCTCAAATCTAAAATGACGCTTGCAAATACGTCGAAGCAGGCTGCACAAGAGACGCAGCCTGTACTGCGAGAAATTGAGCAGCCACGCTCAGTGTCACAACTCGCGCCAATGCCGCAATATAGCGGCTTCACCGACGCCGAGCTTTCAAAGCAGGTGGCAGCATATGGATTCAAGTCTGTGAAAGGTCGCAAGAAGATGATTGACTTGCTGCAAAAGTGCTGGGAGTCCAAATTTGGTAAGGCAGACCTGTCTGCCTCTGTTCCGGGTGAAACAGAGTCGGCTACAAATAGTATTTTTCATACTGTACAGAAGACAGTAGTGCCGCCAAAAACTGCGTCCAAGTCGAACGGAATAGCGAATGCCAAAAAGAACACGTCCACTCTGGCAAACCCCCCGCAGAAGACCAAGATAGTCACTCCAAAGAAGAGCAAGCAATTACCGCCAAATGATGCCCAGCAACCTCCAACCTCAAGCTACATTGATATCGAGGAGATTCAGGATTCGGAGGATGAGCCACTACTATCGCCAGTCCAGGTTCAAGCACATTATACCAAGAACTCGTCCGCGTCGACTCAACTGGCCACAAGCCCTTCGCGGAATTCGAAGGCTAGTAATCGAGCTCGAAGTCCACAAGCACGCAAGTTAGCAAGCTCAAAGGTTTTGCCGGTCACGGAAAGGATCAAGCGTGATACTGCCATTAGGACCAGCGAACCTATCTCAGACCAAGATTTGAAACCCTTGTTAACGCAGATCACATCCGCTGTTCGTGCGCAGTCCCGCCTACCTCAAGCCAACAGTCGAGCTCGACCAACATGGCACGAGAAGATACTGATGTTTGACCCTATAATGTTGGAGGACTTTACCGCGTGGCTCAATGTCGAAGGACTGGGTCTGGTTGACGAAGACAGGGAAGTGAATACAGCCCTCGTCAGGGACTGGTGTGAAAGCAAGGGAATCTGTTGCGGATGGAAGAAGAATACAAGTGGGTAAAAGCTCGCTGAGAAACATTGTCAGTTGTTCTACTTCTGTGATCTAAATGGCGTCTTGCGGGTTACGGATATATACCCTGGGTCTGTGGCGTATAGCATAATTGGGAATATTGCATTTGCTCTGCCTGCAGCATCCCGTTCCGGGGTATGTTGCTTTGTGCATTGTCTCGAGATATGAATCCCTCCAGCATAGTTTATAGGCTATCCTAAGGCGCCTTCAGGGCAACCTGACTTGCCCTAGGCTTGAATCTCTTTTGGCTCATTAGAGTCTTTCGGCTACCCTGCGCTTTCAGTTCTGACTGACCATGCTCGCTTTAACGAAGTCTTTCAAATTGACTCGATGCATGGTGCATAACCAAATCGACGGTGGTGAAGTTGATACACGCTAACATTGGACGAAGATGGTCGCTGAATCATGAGAGATATCACACGGTGAAATCGGCCGTCAATCCGGGTGGTTGAACGATGCTGAGCACAGAACGAGCGAAATCCTTGCAAAATGAACGATTGTTGCTCAAAGCAAGCTTTGTTACATCAACGAAGGCATTGTGAAGCGATTGCCTTGTGAAGCATGCTCGGTGGTTCATGCGCACGGAGTTTCTAGCTGTGCGGCACTAAAGAATAAGGAGAAATTCGCGAAAGTCAGATCGATGGCAGTCGACGGACAGCAGAGCAAGTCCAACGCAGACACGTCAACGGCAAACACGCTAACGCGCAAAGAATACATCACTTCCGCTTCTCGTCTCGGCGTGGTCCCTCGCTGCCCTCCGAAGAGACCTTCGCCTTCTTCCGAGAAGTGAAGGTAGACGACGACTTCGACGGACCAGCGTAGGGCTTGACAGAGGCTTGACTGCCTGACCCACGCTGCGAGCCACTGGAAGACGGGCCAGCGGGCTGAGGGTTTTTTGGAGGTGTCTGCTTAGCCGTGGCCCCGGTTTCCTTCCGCTCTTGACGGTGAGACGAGGCGAAGAGGACCGAGTGCTCATGTTCGGGATCCAGTTCGTCTGAATCCCACGCGTCGCCCGTTGTCTCAAACCAGGCCGCAATCTCCTCTGTAGACGGGTCGAAGTATTTCGTAGGGCTCATCTTACGAGGCTTCTGGCTGGCCATCGTAAGATGCGTTCGAGGTTGCAGCGTTGTGAAAGACGGCAGTGAGAATCACTCAAAGAACTAGAAATGGTTTGAATGTTAGCAAAAACCCATATTTTTCATGTAGCAATCACTTTGAAATCAGTCTTCAAGCAATGATAGACTCACAGAGCCAAAGAGTGTGTAGCTTAATTCAATATCACTTTGATAAAAAAGTAACGTGTGAAACTTCAGTGAGGATTCAAGTGATGAGAGTCCGAAATGAAGTTTGTAAAACAAGAATTCAATCCCAGTCACGCGGGTGAATCGAAAGTAAGAGAGAAATGATGGCAAGTCTCAAATGAAGATCTGAGTTTTGATCGCACAGGTGAGCTTAGGGTGAGAGCCATGTGATCGAAAGACGTGAATGAAGATTGCGCAACAAATCGTAGTGTTACTCACCAAGCAGAAAAGCACAGAAATAACGTGGCAGTTTGAGCGAAGCTTGACGCGACTGCCGGTGCACCCTCTTTGGTGGACTCACTGGAATTCCCCAGACCTGAATATCTAATCACTTTTCGATTGAGTTATTCAATGGTCTCGGGGTCCATGGGATTAAGGAAGAAGTCAAGTTTGGAACGCATAATTCCTTCCTTATATACCTCGACCTTTTCACCTAGATAGTTCCGGAACAGCATGGGTCTCTTCAGACATGGAAACCTACTACAACTTCAGACGGAGGCTGAGTGAGCCTGTCTCCGCTGTCCTCAAAACGAAATCACTCTTTTGGAACGAAGAGATTCCGCTCGAGCTTCTGTCAGGGCTGTTATGAGCTTCACTCTGCTAAATGGTATCTGTTTTTGGACATGCACCTTTGGTGGGAGCTCATGTCGAATCTACAAAACAGCCAATAATACCGGAGACTTAATATTTATTAAGTAAGGCTGATAGAGTCTATCAGACGCCTATGTACCGTGTTCCTTACACACGGCTATGGCTGTAGAGAAACACTAAGGTCGAGACATACAATCTCAAGGTATCTTCTACTTTCTGACGCGATACAAGAGCAAGAAGACGTGCTGAAACAATGCTCTGGACAAGCTAAAGGATGAATTGACCCGGAGAACTTAAATTACAACTACTTTCAATTGTCTCAACCCTTTTCAACTGAATAGAGCTCTTAGCTGAACAAATGGTGCAGTGCGCTGGTCATAGTGCCGGTATACTGATATTTCTCTCAAGGGGAGATGAGTTGAGATATTTCAAATCTCCTCTATGCACAACAGGAACCTGGTAGGGTGATCAAATCTAGACGTTACGTTTAAAGCTTATTGTTAGTGGTATGGTGCGGCGGCCTGTAGAGAAACACTTGGTAGCGAAGCTAGGTATGGATTCTACCAAAAACATGCACTGAGCAGGCCAGATCCGAGAATAGCCAAGATACGTCAATCAGACTATTATGCTATCCAGCAGATTGACCAGCAGAATTCTTTATGACAACTTTTGTAAAACAATTGACCTGTTGCTCATAGATGGAAAAGCTCTTACCCATGAATTGCAGGCCGGTAGATATATAGAATCTCTCCTTCCACCGAAAATCAACCTTGTTTCAGCCGTAGCTGGAGGTACTAAGGTAATGGAAGCTATCCAAATGAAAGGTTGTTCGGGAATCAATTGCTACAACAGGTCTTGTGTCGGTCTCTCCAGTTGACACTCTTTTCTTCAATACCAGTGCCAGGCATGGCCTACTTCGAGAGTCAGGATGCGCTTGAATTGGTTCTGTGGCAGCTTGAGGACTCAGTTAGTCCAGCAAGTTTATCTTTCTCTATACCGTATATATAACACTTGATTTAATTCTACCGTAGTGATATGTTTGTCCTGTGACTGAAGCATGAGCTGTAACACGACCTTTGTTGCTGGGTGTGGTTATCAGCGCCTAAGACACGGTAGCTTGCGTGGTGGTGAGTCTCAATCTCCGGTTTCAATGGGCGGTGACTTCTGAATCCTTTATCCAGTGAGTAAATGCGACATTGATCTCCTTCATTTTGAAGGGCTACGTTCAGAAAAGAACTCTACCGCCCGGCAACCGGGAAGCCCTAAGTTCATAGCACGTGACTTTGACATTACTTTTGTAGAATCGCCCAACGAAACTCAGATGGCCTTCTTGACATGAGGCCAGCCTGACTAGTGATAAAACGGTGCAAATTTGGGGTACTGCGCCTGCTGGGGTTGTTCCTCCATCCGTGTCTGCAAGGCCTGATTTGAGTTCCGCAGTCGGGCAACCTCTTGGCTGAGCATGTCAATTTGCTCTTGCTGAGCCCGAACCTGGGATTGCACGCTGGGGGCGAAGCTTGGCGATGCTCCGGAGTTATCATTTACCTGGCTTAGGTGAAATGGCAGTGGTAATCCTGCATATTGAATCATGTCCTGCAGCTCTGCCTTCTCTTGCTCCAGCCTAGCGACAGCCGCCTTTAACTGCTCAATTTCCGCGGCCATGCGACCTGCAGCACCTCGCACAAACGTCTCTCCAGTCACGCTGTCAGTGACATTGCACGGCACATTTGCTGTGGTGCAGGGTATACAGCCTTCGGCACGGGAGTCACACTTGTAACGGCGGCACTAATATGAACGTAAGATCGATTAGCTGACTGTCTATTTCAAGCAAATTCAATTTACTCAAGAAAGCATGATCGTGGCTCACTCTGCAACGGTCACAAGCCTGGCCAGTTCTTTTGCGTTTCTTGTTGTGCGTAGCGACTTGCTCTTGGTAATCCGGCTCGGGCGAGCTGGGTCGACGTCGACGTTTCTTCTCCTGCTGTGCCGCAGACTGATTCTCGCCTGGGATGCTCGCGTCGACTGAAGCAGACTCAAGACTGCTGTAAGCTCGCGTGTCGCTTCTCATAGGTGTATCTCTTTCAATTTTGAGTGTCATGGACCTGTCATCGTAATGAGCCGTGTCAGACGCAGCTGTGCGAGTCAAGTGAGGCGGGTCCGACGAAGTAGTTCGAGCAAAGTGGGAGGTATCCACGTCAGCTTCTGGAAAGATTGAACATGGGGTTGGATCTCCGTCAAGGTTGACGAAATCTTCAAACATTTCTTCATCCATCAAGTCCTCCTCGATGGAGGCTTCAATGGCGGAGTCCATCTTCAAGGCCGAAGAAATTAAACCGTGGAAATGTAGAAGTGGTGTTTTGATTGAGGAAGAGCTCTGGACTCGGAGAGATTGAGATATCCAGATTCTGTTGTATCTCGCACGTAACCAGTGTTTATTTTTCTGTCGAAGACTTGAGCGCCTATCAGTCGTGTTGACTGGCACCCAGGACAAAGATGTGTAGCCTGTTGATTATCCTTATCCTGAGAGAATTGTCGGCAAAATGAACAGCAGGATTGGAAAAGCACCTGCCCAAGAGACGAGGATGGAGAGAAAGAGAATAGTGGGAAGAGAATTTTGAAGGCGCCAATGCATGCCATATAAAGAACAAACAAGAGCACTGTCAGTACACGTATTATATTATCTTCACTCTTTTAAACCATCCATACAAAATCGATCCCATACAACTTTGAATAGCGCCTCTGTATCTTGAGTGAGAAGTTTGCTGGAAGCTTCAGGGGAGCTAGACCTGCCCAAGAGTAAAAGGTCGTGCTGTGGGCTTCTGTAAAACTTGATACCCAAGGTGTTCATTGATAGGATCTGACTGTGACAGCGAAGACAGATTGCTGTAAAGATGCTCGTTTGGCCTGAATCGTTCTCCTAAGCTAGAAGACAGCAACTGCCATGGCCTTTAAGCTCGAGGTGCTTAATTTCATTCAGACCTTGGACACAAAGCTATTCATGTAGCATTCACTGAAAAACCTTACGTTCATTATGCGTGTATCAAAGAAACTGGAGAATGTAGATTGTAGCATTAAGGTCTTCTTCGGTACAGGGACTATGTATAGTAGTCCAATGTTTATTGTTGCTGAATCTTGTGACATCGCTCTTGCTCATCAGCTGTGGACTACAGTGACATCGACTGGTCTTGTCCAACACTTTGTCTCCACTTGGTGGCTTTGAGCTTTGCATTCGTTATCCGAGTCGGCTACGATTCATCCATGGCCATGTTTGCATCAAGCTTCATTCGTGATCTCATCCATCTGAGGCAGGATGCGGATGGTTGATGGCAAGGTCATCGCAACAGCGCAGATGCCCACGATTGCCACAGTTGATTATCGAGTCGTCATGATAACTTTCAGAGGCAGAATCTTCCATCAATAAAATGGACGCTTCCGAGTAGCGGACTGCAAGGCAGTGATAACCACGCTAATGATCAAGCCCTCGTTCCACAGCTTTACGATCTCGATTTGAGGACTTGGGTTCCACCTGTCGCCGGGGTGGGCAGAAGCACATTGAGTCCGAGAGATGACATTCACGACCCTCTCAAGGCAATGGCTCCAATTAAAGAACTCTCCAATCGATCCTTTGCTGCGCCGAGCATAGGCTGGCTGGGGTCAGCCTTGACTGCTGGTGAGGGTAACGCACCGAGCTTATAGAGCTTCTTGATTTTGTTGATATCGTGAATTTCCGACAATGTCGAGTCATCAAAAGACATCGGAACACCTTCCACGGAGCTTGCTAAGTGCGTAGCAACAGAGTCGTGCGTTATGTCCGGAGACACAGACACTTTAATGATCAACAGGTCTTTCGTGGAATCGGAAATGCCGAGCTTGCGGAACGACTCGGCGATCTGGCGATTGTCAGTCATTCTCTATTACAGAGACACTTTCACCGCCATTGCACAGTAAGAAGAAAGAGAGCTTACGTTGTTTGTTGGGTTAAAAGATAACACTATCTCTGAATGCACATTGTGCGACTTCAGCCGACTGTTCAGGTAATCATTCATTGCCCGGAAAACAGCCGCCATTGCATGTGCCCTTGAGAAAACCTGCAATCAATATCAGCTGACTGAAGAATTTAGTGAGTCAAGATCGACTTGACTCAACAATGTACTTGATCTTACCAGGCTTGCATCGATCATGGCATATTCAAAGTCGGCGTTACCCGCAAGCAACTGCTGTCGCAAGAAGGCCGAGTTCTGAACATTGCGAAATAAAGCCACGTGAATTGGCAGCGATGCAGGCAGATGGGGGAAACTTATGGTTTCTAGTTTCGAGTCCATTTTCAATACAGATTCAAGGCGGACAAGTCCAACAGCTGAAGATATATGGACCTTCCCTTGTAGAGATCTCAGATGGTGGTCCGTCCCACGCATTGTCCAAATCCACCCCACCAGTCATGTGACATTCTGGAACATTCGGACTTAAGAGCTACCGAAATCCGGCTTGAGTAAGCATTCTGATATCACCGCGGCGTAGACCTACATAAAGCCCTCGTCGTCATCGTCACCACACGCTGTGTTATCGACTTTACCACCGTCATGGCTTTCATTCTTCGGCGCCCGTTCGCCGTGTCTACGGCTCTGAAAGAAGTTCCAAAGTTTTCAAATACCGCTCGCTTTATTCACAACTCTCCGTTCAAATCATCTCCGGCAATCAAGCCTTTGGCCGCTCAGCCCTCATTCTTCAGCAAGTCTCACCAACCCCTCCGAAATGCCTTCCGACGCAGCTACATGCAGCAGACCTACAACGCCCAGGGCGGGAACTTCACTCAGAAGCTTCTATATGGAGGTGCCATCGTCGGCGGTACCATCTTGGCCACCAACTTCATCTTCAACCGGGAAACGCGTGAGGATGGTGGTATGCCCGCATATGAGCGAAGCTTCCTGAACGAAACGTTTATGCACACTGGACTTGGAATTGGTATTATCGCTATCGCTGCTCGCGCTCTGCACACCAGTGGCTGGTCTGTCCGCCTGATGTCCATGAACCCATGGCTGGTAATGGGAGTCGGCCTGGTCGGCAGCATCGGCTCCATGTACGCCACCTTCGCTACTCCTCCTGACAAGTAAGTGCCACATCGTCCGCCACCATCTACATCATAGCATTCTACCGAGGGAAACCACAGTGCTAACAATCTCGAATAGCTATCTTCTGAAGTACGGTTGCTGGACCATGTTCAACTTGACTCAGGCTGCCCTTCTCTCCCCTCTGATGTTCATGCACCCCGCAATCCTTGCTCGTGCTGGCTTGTACACTGTCGGTATGATGGGCTCGATCGCCTTTGTTGGTGCTACCGCCAAGCAGGAGAAGTACTTGTACCTCGGTGGTCCTCTCCTGGCTGGTGTCGCTCTTGTCGCGCTCTCCGGTCTTGCTCCCATGGTTCTTCCCGCCACTGCTGCTCGTACTTTGATGTGGTCTGAGCGTGTCTGGCTCTATGGTGGTCTCGCGGTCTTCGGTGGTTTTACCCTGTACGATGTGCAGAAGGTTCTGCACCATGCCCGCCTAGCCGAGCGCGGCTACATGAAGCGTGACGTTGTCAACGAGAGTGTCAGCCTCGAACTTGACTTCATTAACATCTTCATCCGCATGGTCCAGATCCTCGGCATGCGCAGCAACAACCGGAAGTAGATATTCGATACATCTAAGGGACCTATCGAAGTCTACTCTCCTTATCGATCTCCCTGAGATCCTGTACAACCTACGACCTCTTTGACCACTCAGTTTTATTCTGTCTCGCCTTTCTTTTTTTTTTTTCTTTGGGGTTTTCTACGAGGGTCTCATGCTTCTGAACAGGGGCTCTCAACCATTCGGTCACGTTTCACAATCAATATCCGGGGATTCAATCTCCACTCAAGCTTTCTAGCATTGTCGTTAATCTTTTCCATCAATATATATCCCGTGGAACATGTTCCGTATTCGTTTTATCCAGTCTGGACCCATCCGTTCGTCGAGTATATTACCTATCCTCAAAGTAACGGAGTTGTAATGGAGTGATAAGATACTGGAAGCGCCTTTGATAAAAGGTTCTCATGTATAGTGAGTGACTATGTGTACCTATCTCCTTCGAAGGTTGCTTTTCCCGCCAAATGAGAAGCATCGAAATTAAGCAAATACGATGACAAGTTCGTTGGATTTGGAAGTCGTTGTGATAGCCCCCTCACAAAGATAAATCTCTCCATCAAGCTATTGTCAAGTTGCTTTCAATTTTCATCACCCAATGAATTGATCTGCAAAGTCACGAAGCAAACAAAGCCTCATTCGTAGGTTTATTCTCCAGAACCATGCCGGGACGCCAGGCGGAGGCTAACCGAAGGGGGATCGAGACTCTCCGCCTCGGGCACTGCCAAAGCTTTTCCGCATCTGCCCTGTCACCGGCTCAAAGGTCACAGCGTCCGCTTCTGCCAACAGCCATTGCTCGCTAGCAAAGTCACCTATTCATACACCTCACTCGTTTGATATTGGGCGCATCGCACGAAAAAAAAAAATCACCCACAATGTCGAGCGAAATGGAAGTCGACCCACCCGTCGCCCAAGACGACAGCATCGCGGAGCCTGATCGCGGTGTCGAACCTCGGACCCAAACCGGCGCGGTGGCAGTTCGCAGTATCGAGGGGTGGATTCTCATGGTCACGAATATCCACGAAGAAGCTTCAGAGGAAGATATCACCGATCTTTTCGCCGAGCATGGAGAGATTAAGAATTTCACGCTCAGCTTGGACCGACGGACGGGTTATGTCAAGGTATGTCGCGCGCAGAGCGGCGGAACCCCACGATGAGCAGGTGGCCTTCTTATGAGGCATCGCTTGTTCATCGTGAAGCGGGGTTCGGAGGAGCAGACACTCGGCTATCTGTAGAATGGAACTTGTGACTGATGCGTGGTTTCTCGCTAGGGTTACGCCTTGATCGAATACTCAACTCTTCCCGAGGCCGCCGAGGCGATCAAGGAGTTGAATGGCTCAAAGCTTCTTGAGCAGACAATCACCGTCGACTATGCTTTTGTCCGGCCTCCGCCTTCTGGAAAGAACAACAAGAATCAAAACCAGAAGAGCATCCGAGGCGCTGCCTCTCGTGGCCGAAGCCGCAGCCCTGAACGCAGCCGTAGTCCCGTGGGCGACAGAGATTAGAGGAAATCTCCTCGCTAGCTGCACGACTTCTGACGACTCTCATAATGCGCCCTTTCCCTTTTTTTTTCGTCATCTATTATAAACCTCGACTCGGCAACCGATTCGGAGTTGTGTTCCGCTGTCTGGCGTCAACTTGGCCCCTCCGTTCCTGAGCCATGTCCACTTTGGTCTAGGAGACGTTCGATGAGACAATCCCATGCACGAACACCACCCTCGTCTTCGCCGGCGGTGTCCATTCCACAGTCATTATGCTGCGATCACATTGCAAGGTTCGCTGCCCTAGGATAGGACATGCGTCGGCGCCATGCTACACTGTTCAACATGGTATGGCAGTTCTATCAATGCCGATTCTCGTATGCAGAAAGTCTACTCACACTGTTTCACAGAACTGAAGAACGCTCTGAAACATATATGAAAGGCCGCGGGAGAAATGAGCTCCTGGGTAATGAACCTCGCTTCGCAAGTTTCCGCCTCCTAGTGAAAATACGATGTAGCGATCGATGGAATGAATTTGAATCGAGTAACCATCCTTCTGTAGGGACTGATCTGTTGTCTTCCCTAAACTTAAGAGAATAACCACCGTGTCAGCGGGGTCCGTCACCAAATCTTATGTCGACCGTAATTGCCAAGTGCCCAGTGGGGTTGCTGAATCGCGAGAAACCTTGTGCGGGCCAGACCTCATAGGTAGATTTACTGGCAATCATCCTCCCTCCGTTCAGCATCAATCGGTAGTGAGAGGAAGGCATGCTAGTGAGAACGACTGGCCCGGTGCTTCTTTCGCAGCTCCCATCAGTACCTCCCTAGTCGATCCTTAAGATTGGACATGGAGAATGTATTGTAGCTTAGGCGCCACTTGGTACCAGGCTGGGGAATGGGCAGTAATAAAGCGTTAGGTTTACCAAGGACTCGTTTCTCCGTCGAGTCTACGTCTAGCATCACACGAATAGTGCCTTTAGAGTCTAAAATTCAAACTTGACAGGATTTGAACATGATCTTCGTCCTGTCAATTCGGGCCTGAGACCCTCCTTCTACAAAGTTCTGCTCAAGTGGTGTCGGCATACTCGCAAGAGGTATGGCCTTGCGCAGAACAGCGAGCTCTTCCGACTTGCATTTTCTTAGTGCTCTTTGAATCACGAATCGAGATTTGATAAGAAGTGTAAGAGGCGATTATCAATTGCAAGATGCTCTAGCAATGCAGAAGGTGTTGGATCGTAAAACTGCAGATGCACCTTTGAAGGATGTTATCTATTTCTTTCCGGAGTAGTCCTTGGTCAGGCTGTCACTGTATGGGGGTCAGCATTTGTCTGGTCGAGACGCGGCATCGATGTGTCAAAGACACCGTTGAACCTGCAAACGTACATGTGACTCTCGAGCTCGTCGAGGTGTGCGCGCTGGTCAGTGATCTTCTTGCGGAGCTGGGCGAGCCTGTTGGTTTGGAGGTTTAATTTAGGCATTGTCCTTCACATGTTTTGACTCAATCTCAGCTTAGACAAACTTACTTCTCCATTTCCTTCTCCCGGATGTAGAGAGCCTCCTGGGCAGCCTCACGCTTGGTGAAGGAGTCGCTGTGTCAAAACGCGTCAGCTTTCAGAGACAAACACGCACAGGTGTGGATGATGTCATTTCGCTTCCCGCAGTCGAAGCAGCATCGCGGATAGTGCAATGGGCAACAGCGCTTCGACGGCCCAAGGAAGGTTGGCGCACGGTATTGGAGAGGGGGGAGAGAGAGAGGAGGACGAAGACAGTCACGTACCTCGAGGCAGCACCGCCAGCACGGGGAGCTCCCGTGTCACCCTCACCCATTCGGGGCGCAGCAACAGTGAAGGAACGGGTCAACAGCGACCGGTTGGCCATGACGGCGGGACGGACAATGGATTGGCGGAGCATGATGATGATATTTGTGGTGGTGATATGCGTGACCTTGAGAGAGGAAAGAGTATACAGGATGGATGAAGGATTACAGGTCCAACTTATGCGGAGGATGAGGGAAGCTCGCCGGGGCGAGTGGGTGGCATGACGACAAAGGTACCCTGGCAGGGCATCATGTGATCCACCTTCGGATCCGGGGGACAAGCTGGTGATGAGACTGGAGGAGGCCTGCGACATCAACCAGGAGAGCAGATTATTCGAGCGGAAGCTGTTGTTCTATTTATCACGATCTACTTCATTAGTCGTGCACGGATAGTTCAATACTTTGCTTTACATTTTGAAATGAAGAGGATTGAGCACAGTGTCTTCTATAGTAGTCTGCCCTCTGCAGAGGTACATTGATAATATGGGCTTCGCCAGATATGCCCATCCATTCGGGTCGAGGGCCAGGGCCGAGCTCCGAGTCACGTGCAGTATTATGTCAGCATACATCCACCTGATCCGGGGTGGAAAACCCTGCCCGGAATCAGGTTGTCCCGCCCGTGCCGTCCCCGTCCCAGCGATAAGTGTGCGCGCTTGCATTCGATTGTACGCTGTCCAGCGAAGAGCCTTGGGTTGAAATGGACTGGACGGAGTAGTGCTACCTGGCTAAGTAGACTCTTTCTCGAGTCAACATCATCGCAATGACCGAATGGTCCTTCTTCGCGTGTCCCAAGTCCAACCACACCTCATTCCGCATCATGAGGTTTCAGCCGCCGTGACACGTGGATTGTGATGAGTTGGTGATATGCCGATGTGAAAACCCCGAGCAGAGACCACTCATATATGACCTGATGCTTGATACCTGCAAAAACTCGCGGGCTCTTGTGCTCTTGATCCCCAGTTCCTATCTAGGATATACTACTACATGAGTGCATAGTCATACTCATAGTCAAACATGATATCTCGTCCAGCTACCTGACCAGTACTGTAGTTGGCTGGATACCGAGTACCGCGACAGAGCACGGTCCCCACATGGGTCATTTGAGGCGGTCGTCTCGTCAGCAGGCTTTGCACGCCTGGACCACGCGGCAGTTTGTCGAGGAATCTGCGGACCTTTTAGTTGACATACTACAGTAGGCTTCAGGAGGATCGTCAACCTTGGAACGGGGTATTTTTTCCAGGCCCAGCGGTTGCAAATGAGCTGCGACGGAGTGAGGATCTGATGCCGAGCGATTGGCGGGTGCGAAATGGGGGAATGACGCCGGGCAGGCCCACCGAACCAGACCGAAGATCCCAAATGAAGACGTGGGAAAGGTGGGAAATGAGAGGAGACGAGAGGCGGAGACGAGGAGAGAAGACGAGACTTGAGGAGATTCGAGTTCGAACTCAGCCGCGCAGTCACGAGAGGAGCCTCGTGACCCCGGACAAGACGACGGGCAACGACGACTCTACATGACAATCAATCTGATCGGACTGCAAGATCAACAGTTTTCAACTCGATTTCCCTTGGGCGCGGTACATACTTCACCTTTGCGGAATCGCCAAAGTTCCCGTGCCGGATGACAATATTGATGTCTAATGTCTACAGGCTTGAGTCTACACTCTCCAAGGCTAGTGGGCTTCTTTCTGTACATGACTACATGGTCACTCCCTCTATATAGTCACGAGCCCTCTTCAGTTGGAAGTTGGCAGTCCTTCACAAATAGTTAACGACGGTACAGTACATGTATACATGTATGGAGAAAGACAAGCAGAGATTGTGGGTGGTGAAAGACTCGAGCAGGAGGGCTCCCTCAGAGAAACAAAATTACCAGAGCGAGCGCGAAACGAGTTGGCGCATGTGCTGTGTAAATCCCAACAACACCGCCTTCTCCGTCGCCCTCCTTTCCCCCCTCCTTCTCCTCTCCTTCTTCGACTTCGACTCTTCAAATCTCCTTTTGGCCCCCCCCCCCCCCCTCTTTCTCGAACTCTTCTTCATCCATTCGAGTCATTTTCGCAAATACCCTTCCTTTCCCAAATTTCATCAGGTAAGTGTCGTGATTATTTCCTCGATCCAAATCCCGTTGGCGCTCTCTGTGCCATCCCACACACATCTCCCTCGTACACCACCATTACCACCACCACCTTCACCATCACCACCACCGACACCAACATCACCATCACACTGCATGTTCGATTCGTGGCCATCGAAAATGAGTCGTCGCCAAGGAGGAAAAAAAAAACAACCCCTACAATCTCTGAGGCATCAAGAACCTCGTTCTTACCGTTTTCTCGATGCATGATGTACGGGGTCTTGTTACGATCGATCGCCTGTCTGCCTTGTTTATCGGCGGGGCCAACCTGTCCGCGACCGCTCCCCCGTGTGCACCATCCTATACATGACTCGGCCGGGAGATTTGGGCCCAGCGCCCTTCTTTGCGACGATCGCAATTTCACCTGTGAAATCCATGGTCGAAACAACCCTATTTTTTTTTTGGCGATGCATTCTTTTCCATTCAAATCGGAAATCATGGAAACATCACTTCAGATCATTGATTTGATGCAGTTGACAAACACTCGCCTTGTGTTGTTTTGGGGCCCCTCCTGCTCCCCGTCATGACCAATCTCTTGACATCGAGGGCTTGGGTGTCCATGCCATACCATTCGCTTTTCAACAATCGCTCCACCACTCATTGCATTTGTCAATTTTCGAAACTAATCATTGGCTTTCCAACTTCTTGCAGATAAATCTTCACAATGGGTCACGAGAACGCTGTCTACCTCGCCAAGCTCGCTGAGCAGGCCGAGCGCTATGAAGGTGCGAACCCCATTTCTCTCTCCATTTCGCGAACCTACCGTTTCGCTCTCGTCGCGAGAAAGTCGAAATTCGGTCAGGTCTCCTTACTGATCCATGGTGGACTAACATGTGCCGTGCAGAGATGGTCGAGAACATGAAGGTCGTTGCCTCGGCCGATGTTGAGCTTACCGTTGAGGAGCGCAACCTTCTCTCAGTTGCCTACAAGAACGTCATCGGTGCCCGCCGTGCTTCGTGGCGCATCGTCACCTCAATTGAGCAGAAGGAGGAGTCCAAGGGCAACGAGGGCCAGGTCACTCTCATCAAGGAGTACCGTCAGAAGATCGAGGCTGAGCTGGCCAAGATCTGCGACGACATCTTGGAGGTCCTCGACGACCACCTCATCAAGTCCGCCCAGTCCGGCGAGTCCAAGGTCTTCTACCACAAGATGAAGGGTGACTACCACCGCTACCTCGCCGAGTTCGCCATTGGCGACCGTCGCAAGGATGCCGCCGACAAGTCCCTCGAGGCCTACAAGGCCGCTACCGAGATCGCCCAGACTGACCTCGCCCCCACTCACCCCATCCGCCTTGGTCTGGCCCTGAACTTCTCCGTCTTCTACTACGAGATCTTGAACTCCCCCGACCAGGCCTGCCACCTCGCCAAGATGGCCTTTGACGACGCCATTGCTGGTAAGTATTTTCCCTGTGCAGTGGACTGTTTTTTCACTTGTTCTTCGAGGGCCATGCGCCCTTTTCCTTTCCACCGAACTGAACGCTAACCCTCTCTTTCTTTTTTTCTTCTTCAATCAGAGCTCGACACCCTCAGCGAGGAGAGCTACAAGGACTCCACCCTGATCATGCAGCTCCTCCGTGACAACCTCGTAAGTCCGACCACAATAACCTGGAGATTCCCGAGCCATGCAACCGGTTTAAAGAATTCGCTAACCCATCGTGTCCGTTCAGACTCTCTGGACCTCTTCCGAGGCCGAGACTTCCGCCGAGGCTGCCCCCGCTGAGAAGAAGGAGGAGGCGCCCGCCGCCGAGGAAAAGCAGGCCGAGTAAGGAATCTAATATTAAAAGAAAAAAGATATCGATTAGGGACTCGCGTCCTTGGGGAAATGGATGAGAACCATTAATCAAATTTTCAACTTGGGCCAAGTCATCTCACGGCACACCACCGAACAGGGCAGTGATGCGTTGTGTGTCACGGCGGGACGTCTTAATTCAGATACACGGCAACTTCATGCGAGAAATTGCAAAAGCAAAGAAGAACTTTACAATCAAATCGTCTATCTAGTAGCCTCGTCGCGAAGGATAGCGAAGAGATTTTGTTTTTTTTTTTTCAACTTTGGTTTCTCGTTGGCGGCGCGTTTACCTTGAAGAATTTCTACCTTCTGTGCCTCGCTGCAAGACATCGTTTGTTCCGGCTTTTCTACGGCATCCACCAAGATTGCTTGTTGCTTTGAGACTTGACTTGGTCGGTCGAATTTTGGCTTTGTTGTTGTCCGCCTCCGAATTCTCCATGTTTATTTTTTTCTATCTTTCTGTCTATCTTCTGCCTCTTTTAACCAACTCCCTGTGAAGAAGATTTTTCCCCACCCCTTCGCGCGCACTCTCCCCCAAAGTTACAATATCCTACATCATATACACACGGACAGGCAGTTCCTTTATTCCCTCTTGATCCTTTCTCGACGATTAAAATCGACTTTCTAGATTAGATCAACAGACGTCCTCAAACCTGATCGTCATTTCCCTCTTCTCGTGGCTCAGCTCGTCATTCGGCTGTGGTATTTCTCCTACCTCCTCTTGTCATGGCTCCATGTGATATGTATGTAGTTGTTTGTAGCTCGTATCTTCTATGGCTGCCTTCTGTGAAGATCTACATTCAGTTGTAAATTCGAGTACTCCTAGGTCACTCTCTCTTTGCCATACAAATCGCGACCTGAGTCTTTCACTTACTCGAGCAAAGCTCCATGCAGCAACGAGCTATCATATTCCATCCAGGAACATGCCGTGCTGCCCAGGTCCATGCCTATGCCTTGACTTGTTGCAGACACCTTGCTCTGCCACGGGCTTGATAGGAGAGAAGCCCAGCGACCATGGCAGCTATCAGGCGGGCAAGGCAGTTGGGAAGAAACGTATACTGAAGCTTTGGAATGAGATGTCCGCGGGCATCCAGTGCATGCCCGGTTCGATCTGTTCTGATTGCTTGTAGACGTTATCCCTTCATTTCAAGTGCGTGCTTCTTTCCCACGTTCAAGGTCAGGTGCCTTCAAGCCTTGGGTATCTTAGGTACTTTATGTGCACGCGTGGCAACCTCCTCCTAGATATACACGGGCGAAAGTGTCAGGGCAAGTAAGTTGTACCTCCTGCAAGGATCCAGTCAACTTGCTGCCCATCGCACTGCCCGATATCAAGTGAATGTCTTCGACGGTTGTCCGTCATTCGCATCAACCGAGTCGTCTGTATACGTCCATTCCTACCTGCCTACCTAACTACCCTAGCTAGATAAGGCCGAGATTCATAACACACTCCAGGCTCCGTCAACCATCAGTGCTAGGTGATCCCATCTGGCAAATGGTACTACTACCTGGTCTTATCGTGTACCGAGTACCTTGCCTAGTACTGTAGGTATGTAGCTCGTGGATCGGTTCCAGACGGGAGTACAGGGCATTTCTACTACATGCCACATGCCACATGCCATATGCCACATGGTGCATAATGCATATACGACTTTACAGAACTCTGTGGTCATTGGCCTTTCCGCCAGTCAAGATTCATTCGCGGTACTTCCACGATAGTGCAGAGGCTACCCGGGCACCCAGTGTACTCGTCTGGTCTATTGCTACTCAGTACTCACTACGTAGTACGTAGTCCTTCTATGGGGCTATATTGAAACATTGAATCACCGGGTAGAGTGCGTTTTGAATATAAGACGAATTAATTTCTTAGTGTTATGATCGAGCGTAGAGGGTGCGTTCGACTCCTTCCGACCGCCGATCAATGTTGGACCTTACTTGGCCTGTTGAGCCCTGCCCGTCGAGTCTTTCTCGACCCGAGAATGTTCCGTTGGGAGTGCTTGAACGCCCATATGATCCAATATGGATGCAAGGTTCTCAGGCTCTCAGGCTCTCGTCCCTACGTACTTTGCACTACGAGGCTGCGGATATTACTTGGACGTGAATGTTTCTCGATGGGTCAAAGAGGTTCTTGGAAGTATCGTTTCTACCTTCTCACTCAATATTGAGGAAACACGAGAGATATGCTTGTCGATAGGCAGCTGGACAGTTCAATCTGTTTGCCATCTCACTCCTGACAAGGCATGATTGGATATGCTGACACGCGGCTAGATAGCTTTTACTAGACCCCCTGCACGGGCTTCATCGAATCCCACGCCCGTCTTTCCTCAATGTGGTGGACTGCAACTTATCTTCCCGTGCTAGAGGTTTGTGTACGAGCATGAGATGGGTCAAACAAGTCAAAGAATTTGTACAAAAGGACGAGCCCTCTACCTCCCTTGCAACTGCTAGATCACGTGGGAGACACAAGACAGCCTTGGAGAAATCGACACACGAGTAAGAGGGATGAAGCCCGATAAGCAAATCCAAACGAAGTATCAAGAAAGACCAAGACGATGCAAAGTTCAAAAGATATTGAGATTGACGCATAGACAGTGACAGTGGACTGCTCTGATAAGAGAACATTCGCTTCAGAAAAAGTCGCGTCGCATCGCACTTTCCAACCCGTCCTTCAAGTGACCATGCAATGCCATGCTATGTGACGACCAAAACATAATCCAGGTGCAGGCTGTGTGAATCATTCAGTCAAATCGAGTCTAGTCCCAGCCCCCAATAACGCCCAAAGTGCAATGCATCTGATGGATAAAAAAGATGAAAATGATAAAAAAAAAAGGAAAAAGGAAAAAGTGGGGGGAAAAAAGGAAAGAGAAAAAAAAATACAAGGTGATCCTCTGGTCACCGGAAGCCGCCGTGAGAAGATAAACGAAAGACCATGGGGGAGGGGAGTGAAATAGAAGGAAAATAAGAAAGGAAACGCTAAGTGGTATTCCGCGCAATCATGGATAATGAAAAAAGTTGCCGTCGTTGATAGCAGCGGGGTGTAAGATAAGGCGGGGGTGGAGGGTGAAATGGTCGATGGCGTAGAAGGAAAGGGGTGTTTGAAAAACGAAGGTGAATGTTGAAAGCGAATAAGTTTGACCAACACATCCAATACAGCAGCGACAATAGGTCTGTTGGCAACGTTGAGACCGACCTACTACTGTATGGCTAACACGGTGGCTGACTCAGATCTGTAACCATGGCTGACAGAGACGGCAGGATCCTTGACCGGCCATGGTTGCCGAGGTAAGAGTGGCGGAACCCCCTGCAGGAGTCGGAAGAATGCGGTGATGTCACCGGACATTTGTTGCCCCCTTTCGAAAAGAAAATTCGCCGATTGATGGCCGCACGATAAAATGGCGGGGCTCAATGTCCAAGATGTGCCAAAGAGGAGATGGATGACAAGACGTCGTGGCGAGAGAAGCGGAGAGAAGGGGGATTTGGTTGGTGTTGTGGGAAGCCCTGGGGATTACCCATTCGGAGGGCTTTGGTAATGCGTGGAAGAATAGGCTACCTGACCCAGGGATTGTTCGGGCAATCCGATCAGTGAAAAGTGATAGGAGGAAGATGACATGTCTTGTCGGAGAGAGGGACGTTATGACAGACTCATGGATTACCCGCGCGGCGCAAAAGTTCCAGATGGGGGAGGTAGAGTCACTCTGAGGCATATCACGGACAATGGCGTACAGTAAGTCCGACGTTTTGCTCAAGTACAGAGGCCATAGGCGGAAAGCAGAAAGGTGATCAGTCGCGGGATGAGAATTGACGTGAGGGAGCAAGCGGATATTGTTGGTGAGGAGGATTCGGCGGAAGAAGAATGTTAAATGGAACCGGTCTCAGTGCGAGCCGTCCATGGACCGACAGCAGAGGGCAAGTGGAAAATCGCAAATTGTGGAAGAGAAAGAGCGGCGGACTGGGTATCGATTTCGCAACTTTCGTGTGCTCTCATGCATGTTCACAATGATCGGGCCCATTTACTTCTGAGCTTTCCGACCTTTCGTGCTGCGAGTCATTTCACTCTTGGTCATGTTGCGCGTGAGACCGCCGATGTAATCTTGTAGGATCTTGTTCTCACTCTCCAGTTTGTCGTGATCGGACTTGACAGCTTCGATGCGTTCGGCTAGGGCTTGGAGGGATGACTGGAGAGCTTTCGCTTGCCTGCGGTTGTTGCGAATCAGTAAACGGTGGTCATACCAGTGGACGAGGCACTGCGAGACATGGAGCGAAAGTCATCGAGGAACAGGTTCAAATGACTTACTCTTGAAGGGTTTGACGAGCCTCTTTCCCCAAACGCTCCAAATCAGCCGAGTTGCGTCGAGGACTCATTGCGCGCGCGTCGTCAGGTGGAAATTCTTCTTCTTCGATTTCAATCTCAGGATGGTCCCGGGGGACAAGGATGGAGGCGGAAGGTTTGCGACTCGCCATACGCGGGCGTTCGAGACGTCCTCGGCGTTCTGATTCAACGTCGGATATGGAAGAGGATGAGGACAACGAGGACATGTGCATGCGACCACTATCGTGTGGATGCGGAAGAGTAGGCACAGGTGAGGCGTCATGCATATTCAATTCATAGGCCATTGAGGGACGGACACAGTCGAGAAGAGGTTCAGATGGTGATCTCCAGCTTGGAAAGTTGAGCTCAATTTTGAATTGAGCGATCTCTGGCGGCTGTGAATGGCAGATGGGGCTGATCCTTCTCAAATTCTGTGTTTGAGGTTACGCGCTCATAGACCGAGTGGACGATGAGTAAACCAGAAAGTGCTGAGCTGGCTTCGGCCAAGGAACTCGTAACGTGGAAATTTTCAATCTTGACGAAGTCGAAGCGAGCGATCAACGATGAGTGCGGTCTACCCCTAGCGATACACTCCAGATGAGAAGATCTGTGTTACGCTTGAGGTAGCTACCGGGACCGGTAAAGGTTTCGAGAGAAGTCGTTCAGGTTTGAACCGCGAACCAGCCGAATGGTAATGGGACCAGGGGGGGGAGGCGGTGGTGTGGAGGGTGGAGAGTGAAAAAAGAGGGGGCGGTGGCAGGAACACTGGAAATCGAGAGGATTTTGGGTGTTGGTGAGCGTCTTTACTGGGATGAGCAAAGACAGACAAAGGAGAAACGGTCTTGATGATGTTGACGAGATTGAGTCACGGTGAGGAAAGTCCCGCTTGGCGATTTCGGTCGAGTTGAAGCAACGTTTGCGGTCTCTTGGGTGATCTGGGGCAGGGTGAGTCTTTCGGAAATGGGGGGAGGGGGCGACGGCGGTAGGTGGCGTCTCGGACGGAAACGGAGTTGGCACAAGGAAAGAAAGAGGAGTGCAAGAAAAAGGATGTTGGATAGTGAGAGGGAATGGGATAGGGAAGGGTTGACGGATGGATATAGTTGAGGGAGGAAGTGAGAGAGAGAAGGTGAGAGAAGATGGAAAGGCGAGAAATGAAAATGGGAAAAATAGTTCAGTATGGAAAACCATGGTCGGAGGAGGACTGCTGGGGGACCTACGAACTGAGAAGGGAGCAGCGCAGAAGCAGAAGCAGAAGGCGAAGCGGCGGGTGGGTATTACGCTTACCGCGTGATGCTCGGTAAGATGAAGGATTGCCGCTGGGCAAGCCTGGAGGGAGCGGGGAGGGGAGTACATAGGGTAGTGAGGTTACGGAGGTACTCAGGGTCGTGCGGTACGTGCTGGGTATAGTTTACAGTACTGGAGACCTAATGTGTAAAGGTGGTGGCCGCCCGAGTTGCAGTGGTGCTCACCTTCCACAGGAACGACGAGGGGGTGGAACACCCACCGAAGAACAGCTCCCGAATTGTGGATCTGCCAGAGTGGATCGGGACCATAATACATACAGAGAGGTACCACCCTCTTCCAGTCTGCTAGTCTCAGAGCAGCGCGGTCCCATCCTCCACCGGTTTGGGCCTCAAGGGGAGAGGGGGACAGGGGACAGGGCCGCTTTTGAGTTTTTACAGTATCCTGTACGGTATGGTACCATCACCCGCTCTTGTCCACTACTCCACTGTCCAGTTGTCCACCCATGGATGGTGATCGGAAACATTTTACACCTGTGGACATTGACAAACAACATGTCTAGTCATACAGACTTACTAGAGTGACTTGGAAGGGGTGTCAAACTCATCAATGGTACACCATATCGGGCGATGGTAGCAAGACATGAACGCTAATAATTCTCCAGCATGAGATCATGTCCCATTCAGGTACCAACCAATGTCTGGTTGCTTAATGCTTATACTGCTGGTTCAAAGCACATCCGCTGGCTTCCTGGTCTCCATCATGGACGATGATGAGATGCAACCACTACGGTGCTCCCACTTGCCAAGTGGACACTGGATAATATTGTGAAAAGCGTAACAACTGTATATTATATGCATATTAAATCTGTCTATTAAAGGTATAGGGCCACTCTTCAGTGGCAATGGTGCTATCAAATGACCATCATCAGCGACCGAGTCCACTGCAAGTCCTATAACTTGGACATCTACAGCAGTTGCCAATAGAGCACTAGGGCAATAGGGCAGAGAACCAACAGGGTAATTCACCGTTGCTTCTGCGAAAAAATTGTATGAGCAAAATGGAAAAGCAAAAATCACCCTAAATGGTATAGTGTAAGCCCGCAAGTCGTGACCTTACAGGTGTGTCACTGTCTCCTGCCTTAGTGACCGCGCAAAAGTACTGCGCCCCACCGCGTTCTTCACCACCATTCGAAGCCTCTTAGGGAAACTCTTGTACCCTTGGAGGAAGGCTTTTATTTTTTGCTCCTTTGGATGGTGGCTGATTGGAGCGATCATCGTGACCTTGTTACAGAAGTTTCTCTTCCAGCAGGGTTAAGTACCGGTACAGACAGTGGGGAACCCCTCCCAAGGGGGTGTGTGTATGCCATTGGGGTACTACTACTGCTCGGCCCCTCCTCTCGCAAATGAACTTGTCAGGCGCGTGGCAGCCACACCATGACCGTTTCAGGGTAGAGGGTGTAGATATATAGATTGCAAAATCCTAGAATGTAAATTCCCATCCAATAAATAATATATGGTAGACTGGGGAATTATAAGCACAAAGCTGAGTACAATGTATATACCTATAGGACTGTACGAGGAAATTGCCACTGCAGCACAGAATTGTGAGACTCTTGACTTGAAATCCCAGCGCCATCATTTGATGAATGCACCACCAGGTCCTATAACGTAGAGCAATATGAGTCGAGTGGCTGGAAGGCATATTATGGAAGCAGTCACTGTTGTGCTACTGTAGGTACCCAGCATCACATCACCAGGTTCAGGAGCGTTGAAGGATGGATGCCTGAGTTATTCTTGCCCGGTCATTTCACTCCGGGCTGATCATGGATCATAGAGACTCCCCGTCACCACCAGTGTGCAATAACAGATCAGGAGTCAGGGCCACTTCTTGCTCTGCTGTTGATTGTTTATTCGATTAGCACAGTTGATGGTCAGGTAGCCTCGTGTGAAGGAGGCTCAAAATTCAGGAAGGCTGCTTTGGACAAATTTGTCGAGTGGATTCTCCAAGTGCCTAAGCAGGGTCCTGTCAAACCCGCTTCATATGAAGACGGGATCGGTGGCTTGGACTGCTAGAGCCAATAGCGCCGGAAATGGCATACGCGTCCAACAACCCGGCAATGACTCCATCAAGGAACGCCCTGGTAGTCAATGAGATAATCAGGTGTACTCTTCTATACGGGTAACGCCGTAGTCCGCAAAGGCGCCCACTACTAGGGCTACCGAAGGAATAGCTTCCGTATACTCATAGCCCTGTAGCCTGAGAGATATCTCACCAAGATTCACGGGCTCATCCCACCTCCTTTACTCGGGCGACCACGAGGACGGCCCGCGGAGCTGTTTCGAGCTCCCCTGCTCAGCGGTCCCGGAGGAGAGTTGTCCACTTGGAGCAGGGGGAACACGGGAGTACATCATGAACCTCGGACCATGAACCAGTTTGATGGACACTGGACACTGGACACTGGACACTGGACACTGGACACTGGACAGTGACACATTTGACCTGTTCAGGTAAGGCTGTTTGTATAGTGTTTGTTGTGTCTGGTAGTCAGAATCAATTAGTTGCACAGTATAATGTATACACCTGTGAGCTGTCTGACGATTGCAGTCGTAGTATTGTTCCACCTTGTCCTGGTGACTCCGACAATTAAGCAATCATCAAAGTTTCGCCCGAAGCGGACTGAGCAAAGTGAGCATTGCAGGGTGTAACCGACGTGGTGCCAGTGTCTGAGGGTACACCTGTAAGCTCGTACCTTATGTACGGTATGGATATGGTAATTGATCTGTATCATCGCTACTACGCAGCGAGTCAGCTAATCAGCTCCCTCGCAAGTGGAGCCAAACCTCGAGATTCACCCACTCGATAGTTGAGACTCCTATAAACGCACCGGACCAGTCCGAGCTATCCATGCAATGGGCGTAGCGCGTGGAGCCAAATTCAACCTGACTGGCCGCATGGCCATGTCAGTGGAGGCGACGCCCCAGACCCCCGAGGAAGCGGCTCAGTTCATAGGCTCGGCGTGAGGCAGCGGGTTCGAATTCCCAAACACACAGCCAGCATGTCACTGGCACTTCCCCCCGTAGCCTACTCCAGCGGTTATCCACCTGATTCCTTTCATGATCACGGGAGGAGGATGGGGCGGGGGGACAGTTGAAGAGGCATCACCATCGGGAGTACAGTAAATTTTCCTGTGTGTAACTGCAAGATCATGGACGGTGGAAGAGCTCGATCAGAGACGACCGTCCCAAGAATAAGAGTCCCCTCCACTCATGATCCTACACCGCGCGGATGTGCATTGCTGCGGATGCTAGTAGAGACAAGGGAGAGAGGGGAAGCTCAGGAGCACGGGACTGAGGTTGTCGGAGCAGACAGGACCACTTCTTTCAGAGGGTACCGAGTGTACCGACTCTACCAAGTCAACCGGCTTGATATTAATCAATAGGAAGTGGGACACGGGGGACATCATTTCTGGGAGGGCACCTATCTCATCGTGCTCACCGCCAATGCTGCTCCGTGACCTTGGACCATTCAAGCCACCAGAGCTCCTGGTCAACTGGAAAGTCGTGACAATGAGAGACTGACAAATTCATCGTGTTTACCAAAGTTCAAGGATCATGGCTGAGGTGGTTTCCTTTACCCATGACTCAAGGTGTAATGATCCATAAAGGATTGTGCAGAGGAGATCCAAGCACGTGAACTCGCAGGTCAGAATGCTTGGTCCATCAATGACAGTCCGTCTGCACCGATACTCCAGAGTCTCTCAGTCTCCACTGCCAGAAACATGACAAGACCACCCGGGGGGAGGGGTCATGTGAGAGGTGACCGAATCCGTCGTTCACCGTCTGTTCCTGAATCAACCCCCTTACCGTACCGAGCTTAGTCTGTCTGGGTGAAAGGTGACTGATACTGTGTCACGCTAGGAAAGGGACTGATGATCGTCAACAAGTACTATCATAATAGTACGAAGTTACTGACTATCATACTACTATGTATGTATATGTATGTATATGTATGTATGAATGGCATAATCTATCGCGATTCGCGAGTCCGCGACTCGCCAGAC